TCCTGAGCAGGCTGGGAAGTGTTGTGCATTTTGGTGCCTGAAAAAATAGCTGCAAAAGCAGGTAGAGTGATACATCTTAAGCTGTGCCTAGTGGTTATTCCCAGGACTGGCCATCTTGTGTTGTGCAGTGTCCTTTTACGACCTGGCTGAAGTCAAAATAGTTCTTATGAAATCTGGAAGTGTTATCAGAATGAGGGGGATGGCAAGCACCATGGCTAAGAAGATAAAAGCTAAAAAAAAAATTATTGTTGCAATTTCATAAATGGCTTGGAAGAGGAAAGAAACCAGGATTCAACTTGTGAGACATCCATGCCATTTAATTCATTGGGAATAAAAACCAGCAGGTGGAAGAACTACTGGATGGGCAGCAATTCTGCAGGACAGAACAGGCAAGCTGCAGAAGAGTGTGATTCTCAAGTGTGACTCCATGACAGTGTGGAAAAGGTAAAAACCACATGGGGGGAAAATGGGCTGTAAACACTGTTGGCCTGTGATTTCATGCCTTCCCTCTCTGTGGTACTTGATAAGGCCTCTGCTGGTGTACAACAGCCAGTGGAAGGGGGGTTTTTTCTGCCTGAGGAATGTGTAACTACTGCATAATCTGGAGAAGGGAAAGACAAAGCTGTAAATTCAGCAGCTGGGGCAGGGAGCAGTGATAAGGGAAAGCAATAGTGACTCCCCAGTGGGAGAGGAACTGCAGACATGGAGCCTCTGTCTCTCAGCTCCATGCTGAGGAATTTGAAGAGCCATTTCTTCTCTGCAGTCCTGTGGGATTAGGAGGTCTGGGTGTGCTGCTTTGAAGTAGTTTATCAGCTGTGATCCATTTGCCACTATTCAGTAGCCTCTGTACTGAAATGTGCCTGGCAGGACAAACCCCGAGTCAACATATGTCTTTACTCATTACCTCTCTTTCCTATGTTTTTCTTTTGTGTTTTCATGCAAGGTTGGATGGTGTGGTAAAATCTTTCCTGTTTTGCTAATTTTCTCATTGCAGTAATGTCTTTGTTTCCTAAGAGGCTCATTTCTTTGCATTGCATGAACTTAACTGAAAATGGACAAAGTAGATAGACCAAGAGATGAAAACTGTTAAATCCCTCAAAGGATTCTTTAGAAGTTATTTTCCAGTTTATTAAAGGCACAGTTTTTAATGTGCCAAATGTTGTTGAGTCACAGACAGAGAACAAGCCCTGTGGACTTGGAGCTGAACCTCAAAGCCAAAGACCAGTTTTGCTTTAGAGAGTGGATCTTTTCCCTGCAGGTGTATTCCACAGAAGCAACTAAGCAAACACTGTGAGTGAGGCTTGCATCCCTTGGGAAGGGCCATCAGAAATCACCAAACAGACACAATAAATACCAGTGTTAGTCTGCACCGCAGTTTTGGCATGTGCTTTCAAGCAGGTGTTTGGAAAGATCTCTTGGGAGAAGACAACTACACACCTCACAAAGCCCAGTGTAGGAGGCTGCTAACACATGTGCTTCCAAGCTCTGCTTTGTTTTGGGTGCCAATTTCCCATCTACTTTGTCTTCCAGCCTGCTGCCAAGCTTGTACTGATGGAAATACAAAGCTGATTGGTGTCACAGTGTGTTTGCCCTGCTTTGTTTATATGTGAAAAATTCAGTTCATAATTCCTCAGTTTGCAGCTAGCACCCACTTTTATGTATGATCCCAGGCAAAGAATAGGTAATGATTGCAAAGTTAATTCTATTTTTCTGTAGGAAATTCTGCTTCATGTATCCATTTCAATAAAGCTATTGGGCTAGATCCCAGATGGCTGTGGTATTCATCTTTCCACCAGGCATTTATCCAAAGTCTTACCCTGTGGGTAAAGAGGGAGAAAGGCCAAGTCATCTTGCTACTTTTACATTTAAGCCATTTACATTTGCTCAGAGATGCCATAAGCAGCTGGGTCTCAGCTGTAACTCTCTGGGTAATACATTCCTTCCTGTAAAAAACCAGGGAAGCCATTTTCCTTGCTGCCTTGTAAAGGCATTGAGTGAAGTTAAGCACAAAGCAGACCATTCATTGCTGCTTCCCAGGAGTGTGCTTACTTCATCCAGGCTTGGTCTGGGGGGGAATTAATCAAACAAGGAATGAGCAGAGCAATGAGTGAAAACCTCACTGACACTAAGGTGGGACACACTTTGGTGTGAATGAGATTACAGCTGATCACTCTGGATCCTGAGTCCTCTGAGATGTCATATATTTATTATTTATACCCAGAGAATGGCATTCTGTACAAGAGAAATAAACAATTAATCACAGCCTTTTTTTTTTTTTTCCATGCTTTCACAAGCAAAGATCCTCAAATCTTCATTCAGGCTAACAAAGCCCTGGTGCCCCAGATGGAGTTGATTAGTCAGATTTGATGATTACCAATCAGGGAGCTCTGTTCAGACTTGCAAAAGGAAAAGGAAATGTGGGTTAAGGTTTGTTTCAGGAATGATTAGCCAGTTTTCCTTTGAATGGTGGAAACAGCTCTGAAGAAATTTGGCAGCATGAAGGTGTGAAGTGGAAATGTTTTGGTTTATTGTTTGTGTATTCTGCCAGAGAGCTAAAAGCCCCCATTCATGTCAGACTGAGAGCTAAAGGACAGGAATATCACAGATTGAGTTTCATGGTTATAGGTGTCCTTAGTTTTACTCAGACTTTGTAAGGAAATGGGACACTGGTACCTGGGCTGGCCATACAAACCTTCTGCAACCAGAGGTTCCCAGTTCTGGCCCAAATTGGGCTTCCCTAAGTAATGTCTGCAATTACAGCTCTAGCTGCAAGAGCTTGGACCAAAGCCTGGGATTCAGCTTTCATGTCAAACCTAGGAGTCAGAGAGAAGGGGTTTATGTCAATATTCTGTTCCAGCAGTCAGGGCTGAGGTTTTACTTTCCAACCCCAGCATAAAAATAAAATGTTCATTGATCGTGATGCCTTGCAAAATGATTTTCTGCTGGTGTGTGAAAAGCTATTGCTGATTAAATTGATGAGTTCTTGTTTCTCTATTCTTCCCTTGTGTGTGTGCACATCTCCTGTCTTGTGCCTAGAATTCAAGCTCTGCTGGAAATCAGCTGGAGTGGGGTTTGCCTGGTTGTGAGCCCAAGGGAGGGCTTTTGGACTAAGATAACATCAGGAATAATAATAATGATAGCAAGCAGCCTGATTTCCTTGGCTGATTAATCTGAAATCTCCTCAGAGACATTCAGGAAGACAATGCAAGATTTTTCTCTGGCAGTAGCTGACTGGGGTTTTTTGTTTACCGGTTTTCCCTAAAATGTTTGTTACATTGCCAAGCTACTCTGTTCCTTTGATATGCAAAGTGCTTTGAAGAGAGAATCCCTCAATTACCAGTATTCCCAAAGCATGGCAGTGTAGTAAGGAGGGAAAGGGGATTTTTGTCTTCAGACATCACTCAGTATAAAAAGGAAACACTTGTGTTTGTAGGGTCGTCTTCTGGTACAAGATTTTTGAAGTGTTCATGTAAGATTTACTCTTTTGTAGCTATACTAGTATCCCCACTTGGAGCTCTGTTTTGAGAATAATTATAGGTAATATATGGGTTTTGAGATATACCTAGAAGTGAAAGACACTTTCACTGGTAACGGTAATGATACCCTCAAAGGATACAGGGAAGGTAATGCAGAACAAGAAGCACTAAATACATGTGATGAAATACTTGCCATTCTCATATATCTCTAATGATTTCATAGCCAATGGGTACCAAGATTTACCTGATATAGCATCTATTTTACTAGGACTTCTTAAAATCAGTGGGTTCCAGTTTGATCTAACAGCCTGGATGCAATGTGGTTCAGAAATTCTCTCTGTTGTGAATGGTGGGACAAAGCTAGTGTTGTGCCAGTGTTTAATGAAACCAACCTGACCCTGGTGATTCATGGGCAGAATGCGCCTTTGGGATGCTTTGGGCAGGTGAAATCCCTGTTCCAGTAGTGAAGGCGAATGGCTGCTCCCCAGCAGGCTGTGTCCTGTGGGATTCTGGGGTGCCATAAAGAGGAGGCTGGGGAGCCCTGGAGACAGCCCCTTTGGGGTGATGTGCTGGGTTTGGCTGGGATAGAGCTAATGTTCTTCACACCACTGGGTATGGGGATGTGTTTTGGGTTTGTGCTGAACGCAGGGTTGATAATATAGAGGTGTTTTTGTTATTGCTGAGCAGAGCTTACAGAGCCAAGGCCTGTTCTGCTTTTTGTATGGCCATGCTCCAACAGAGTTGGGAGTGATGCAGGTGGGACAGCTGACCCCAGCTGACCAAAGGGGTATTCCAGACCATATAACATGACAGTATATAAAGGGGAGAGGAGGAGGAGGAAGAAGAGGGGCTGTTTGGAGTGTGGAAATTTGGCCATAGCCACCATTGCACGTGCTGGGGCCCTGCTCTCCTGGAGATGGCTGAAACCCTGCCTGTCCTGGGGAAGCAGTGAATAAATGCCTTGGTTTGCTTTGCTGGTGTGCATGGCTCTTGCTTTTCTTATTATACTCTCGTTACCTCAACCCACGAGTATTCCAGCTTTAACCCTCCCTATTGTCTCCCCAGTGCTGCTGGTGGGGGACAAGTGAGTGCCTGTGGGGCTGGGCTGCCAGCCGGGGTTACATTGGTTTGGGATGTAACCCAACGGGAGGTGCTGTAGGACAGGGCAGGGCAGAAGGGTCACTGACACCTGCTCTGGGCCCGCCTCTCCTCAGGGACCCCATTCACCTACCTCGGGCTTGTCCTGGGCTACGCTCCGCCCGAACTGCGGCCAAGATGACAGCCACGCCTGCGAGATGTGGCACTTGGAGGGAGGGCGGGGAGCCCTGAGGAGAAAGATGAGGGAAGATCTCCCCTCTCCCATAGCCCGGCCGTACCTCAGCTTTCCCCTCAGCCGGTCCCGAACCGGCTGCGCCGGCAGCGGCCACGCCCGAGCCCCAGTCCGCCGCTAGGCGGCGCTGCCCCCGCCGCGGAACGCGAGGCGCCGCCGCCGTGTTCCCGGGGGGACGCGGGGCGGGCGGAGCGCTGAGCGCGGCGCACCGCGTCCCGCCACCAGCGCCATGGCGCCCAGCGGCAAGGTGAGGGCAGGGGGCCCGCCGGGGGTACCGCCGGCTCCGGGCACTCACGGGCACCCATCCCTGGCTCCGGGCACCCACATGCACCCATCCTTTGCGCCCTGTAACTCCTCCCCGTGCTGGCCGCCGAGCCGCTGCCGGTGCAAAGCTGACTAGCTCAGAGGGAATCAGTGTTCCTGCTTTAGAGCACAGTGCAGCTCCCGCAGCAGTGACTGGCGTTACTCTTGCTGGAGTAATGGTAGAACTGGTTTTGCTCTGTTGAAAATACAGTTTGTATGTGTGATGCTTATTGATGAAAGCTGTATTCAGGTCTCTTGTGTTACGGAGCAGTTTAGTGTCTGTTAAGCGCAGCTTTATCTGTGCTGCTGTAGCCATCTCTGTCTTTGCTTTATTATAGCCGCTTCAGCAGCGAGAGGTCAGAGATAAAGGCAGGCTTGTTCCTCATCGCTCTTATCAGCACTGAGCAGGGCGGGTTGGTGTCGCTCAGTTGTGACAGGGCTGTCCTGCGGTCACTCGTGCGGGCTCCGGGCCAGTGTCGCTCAGGAGCCTGCACTGCCAGCAGCAGCAGCTCTGCGTGCTCATGGCCAAAGGGTAATAACAGGTTAATAACAGCTGAAGAGAGACGTAGAGGAGGTGCCCTCTTCCTGAAGGAGGATTCCACACACCTGAACGGGCACCCAGCTTGGGTTTGCTGCCTTCCAGAACATTGATGGTGTGTTTGTAAGCAAACAGCAGCTCTGCACTCCTGCGCTTCTGTGGCTTCTCTGCTGTCACCCTGCCGTCTATGAAGCGTTTTTAGGGTCAGCACCAAGCCAAGGAGGGTCTGCAGCTGCAGCCGTGGGTAGATTCAGTAATTCCCCAGGCTGGAGGTGGGCACTGACAGGGCTCTTGTGAGAACACTGTGCGGCCTCTGGAACTGCCTCTGCTCCACTCTGAGCTTCTGCAGACCTGGCTGGCTCAGGCACTTATTCCCAGCTCCCAGGCAAGCCTGGTGAAGGCAGGATGAGTGCTAAGACTGAGTGTAACCTGCAGGACAGCTTGTGGAGCTCTGCTCTCAGCAGGTGCTTGGAGTTGCTTGCAAGGCTGGGCTTGCAGGGCTTACACCAATGCCTTATCTTGCTGTTCATCCATTTGGCTTTGCACAAGCAGACTCTATGTCTTGTGTCACTTGACAGATTTAGGATTATTGCCCACATCCTTTTGTCAGCTTCATTTCTTCTGGAATTGGATATATTTTGTGTTTTAAAATGAGTCAGCTGGCTCCAGCCTAGGTAATACCTGACTTTCCTGTGTTCTGGCAAACAATTTTTTCAGGCAGGGTAATTTAATCTACTGGCAGCTCATCAAGCAAGGTTTTGATGCATATTTAGGGAACTTTGGTTTAATCCGTGAGAATAAATTTGAGCTGGCCTTGGACATGCAGGGCCTCATTTTGCTGAATTCCTCTTACAACTACATTAATGTGGATGATTGATCAAGATAAGGGGGGTCTGTGAAAGAACTTTAGAGGAACTTAGAGTCAAATGAGAAATTGCAAGAAACAATTTTATTTATTTCTAGTGTATAAATCAATTCATGGGCAGACTTGGGCAGTGTTTTGTATAGATCAGCTAAAGAGGTGATCAGAAATGAAAAACCATAGACTAATGTGAGGGATTTAAGCCCCTAAATTGCAATTGGAATTCATCCTTGCAATTGTCAACTAAAATATCTGTTTAATTTCCTGGTGCAGAGAAGCCCTTAGATCCCTAATACATTAATGGGATTGTACAGAAATTACATGCCCTTTACAGGTTATTGTGTAACATAGGATTTTTTTGTGTTTTCCGCTGAAATGTCTGGAACATGGTACAGGATGAAATTTTTTTCTTTTCAGTGCAGTTATGCCAGTTCTGTCTTCCACCATTGTCTCTTATTAACAATTAGTGTAAAAGAAACCACTTGTGATGTAGTTTGATTTTTGGGCTTTGTATGTACCCTTGTAAGTAATTATGCTTGTATTTTATTTTTTATTCTCACTCCTCCTTTCCAGGTGGCAGTAGTGCTGTGCCTGGATGTAGGCCTTACAATGAGCAGTTCTTCCCCTGGTGAAGAGTCTTCACTTGACCAAGCCAAGAAGATTATGACAAAGTTTGTGCAGAGACAGGTGCGTGTGACTTCATAAATGTTAAAAACATCTGTGAAACGTTTTCCTCATTTACTAATAATTGAAATACATGAGGAATGAGTGAGAATTAGTCTCTGTTTATGCAGGAGTGACAGGGCTCTTTGTTTCAGCTGTATTTTTTGTGCATGAGGTGTGATAGTTGGGTTGGTCACCCTTTTTCTTCAGGGCAGTAGAAACTTTTAGGGAAAAGAATTGCTTTTCTCTTTCTCTAAAATATTTCAACACTTATTAATTGCCACACAGAAGACCATTTTGAGGACTGAATCAACCAATTTTACTTGTTTTATCCCAGATAGCCCCTTGCAAATTTGTTAGTTTAATTATATCTTTGTGATCTCACTGTAAGTTTATGTTTTGAGAGGACAGCACCGAATAAGTAAAAACCAGTAAATCCATTGTAATTGATGTTTCAAAATTAATCGAGTTTGCTGTAATCTGCCTAACATAGTTGTGTGTGAATCTACCTGTGTTTTATACCTGTTTTGTGTTCTCTGTATCTGCAGGTTTTTGCTGAGAGTAAAGATGAAGTTGCTGTAGTTCTGTTTGGCACTAATGGCACTAGAAATGGCCTTGCCAGTGAGGATCAATACCAAAACATTACTGTACATAGATCACTGATGCTGCCAGATTTTGATCTGCTGGAAGACATTCAGAATGTGATTAAAGCAGGCTCTGCACAAGCAGACTGTATCCTTTTGCTGAAGAGCACTTCTTGAACTGATTCAGCTACGTAGGAGACAGGAAGTCAGTGTTGTGAAATTGGGCTCAGCCTCCCAAGTTTTAACTACTATCAGAGTTGAGCTAATTTGTGGTTGTAAGTTTGTCCAAAAGCAGATTTAGCTGCTTTTTGACGTTCTTTTAGGCTAACAGATGTAGCCTTGGCCTTAAAAGGAATCATTGCTTTTATGAAGTGTTCTGTTAATTAAAGAGAAAAAAGACAGTAATATAATTTTAGGTTTCAAATAAGGCATGTATTTTTAAAATAGCATTACAGAACTTGGTTTGTGCTTTTTAATAAAAATGTTGTTTATGAAGTAAGTCAGCAGAAGTTCCAGAAACCAGACTGTCCTGGTTTCAGCCCAGCTGGCAACTCAGCCACACACAGCTACTTGCTCATTCCTCCACCAGTTGGATGGGAGAGAACTGAAAGGGTAAAAGGGAGAAAACCCGTGGGTTGACATAAAGACAAGTTAATAGGGAAGTTAAAAGCTGTGCACACAAGCAGAGCAAAACAAAGAATTATTCACTGCTTCCCCAGGCAGGCAGGTGTTCAGTCATCTCCAGGAGAGCAGGGCTCCATCAGACTTAACAGTTACCTGGGAAGACCAACACCAGAACTCTGAATATCCCCCCTTCCTCTTTCTTCCTGCCAGCTTTACAAGTTGGGTGTGATGCCAAGTGTGGGATATCCCATTGGTCAGGTGAGACCAGCTGTCCCTGCTGTGTCTCCTCCCAAGGTCTTGTGTCCCCCAGCTTCCTCACTGGCAGGGTGGTACAGGAGCCAGAAAAGGCCTTGGCTCTTTGCAAGCACTGCTCAGCAACAACTACAACATTCCTACATTATCGTCACTGGTTCCAGCACAGTTTCAAGACCCAGCCGCATGTTGGCTTCTGTGAAGAAAACTATCTCTACCCCAGAGAGAGCAGAATAGAAGTTTATCAGATTGATTTATTTGTGAAGTATTTCGAACATTGCCAAATGTTACTCCCTGGTTTGAATGCCATTCATGTTTGACTGTGTTCTGCTCTTAGTTACATGTAAGGTGAAGACTTTTAAAGAGTAATCTGTATAGTGTTCCTTCATGTGTTTCATTTACATCCAGTTCAGTCTCCTGTGTTGTCTCTCTCTGGCCATAAAATGATTGCTGTGAGCTCTGTCCAGGCAGTCAGAGCTGTTTCAGAAGTGTGCAGTCACTCAGCTGGCTCACACATTCCCAGTGGACATTGTGATCAGGAAGAGATTGTCAGATGCAGGTGGTTCAAAGAAAAACTTCTGTGAGAAAATGATATATGTTGAAATTTTGTTGGTGGATTCAGAGTAACATTCTAAAAGTTAGATTGCCTCTTCATGGACTTGAGCCTCTCATTGGCAATTGAGAGGTTGGGATCTGAAGTGGTCTTTTTAGTGTTCCATTGGGTAAGTGAGGCAGAGACAAGATCACAATACACACAAGTTTTTGTAGGAACCTCTGGCACATCAGTTATTTGAAAGAGTATTTCTTAACTAAAATGCATGTTAGTCTTTGAAAGGGAGTGAAAACGTAAAATTGTTTTCTACAAGAAACAACATTTGTTACTTGATTTACATTCTGAGATTTTTCTTAATTTTGCCTAGTTCTGGATGCTATTATTGTGTGTATGGACTTGCTTCAGAAAGAAACAATGTGAGTATGTAACCTGAGGGCTTATACAAAAGTCTGACTTTGCACTGATGTTTTCTTGTCACTCTTATGTTTACTGTATGTATAAACATGGGAAATGCTTTCTGAAAAAAAAAAACCAACAAGCAAACATTAAAGATAAACAGCACACTACAGAAGTTTGCCTCTAAACAATCCTCATGAGACATCTGACTTGTCCAGACAGTTGCAGAGCTTTCTGAGGCAACTGTAGTAGAGCCATGAGAGCATTGCTACCATTAAAGAAGGCACAAAGCCTTCCCTTTCTGTCACAATCCTTGTGTTCTGCTTTCAAAAACTGTTAAAAAGGATGGTAAAATGTTTAGGAAAGGGCTACTGAATTTAAATGTGATGGCACATTTTAGAAAGAAAAAAGGAAAACAAAACTAGAAAGGTGAATTTGTTCAGCCTAGAAATTTAACGACTGTTGGAGATGAAGTGGCTGTTTGTAAATATGCAGGCTGTGGAAATAAAGGTGCAATAGGAAAAAACACTCTTTAAGCTGAGAAAAAATGTTGACATCAGTGTTATGAAGTTATCAGTGAGTGCACTGAGGCTGGCAAGGTGTTTCTAACACTCTGTGAATTAGTACAGGGAAAGCAAGGTAACTGCACTTCCTCTCAAACCAGGGTTTGGTCATGTTTCTAAAAACGTTACATGATCTAACTGTGAGTGGAGAAGACTGGACTTGGTGATACAATTTATATTTTTATGAATAAAGTCTAATCAGTGTGGAAGGCTGTATCCATTTAGTGATTAAAACTGTTGTGAATGGAAATGACTGTATTTATGGCCTTATAGTCTTGAATAGCTATGGAACCACTGGGTTTTGTTGTAGCTTATATGCACCAACCCCTTTGATATGGAGTTTGCCTTCATTTGAGAAAATATTATAGGGTAAAAATTCAAGAAAATCACTCTTGTGTTTGATTATCCAGATCAAAACTGAATTCATCCACTTCAACTGATTTTTGTTCTGTCATTCAATCTCCCTGATCTGTACTGTTACTGCTTCTTAGTATATTAAGTAGTCTTGAAAGTCCATCTTCTCCAGTGAATCTACTGAATTAGATTACTAAAATGGAACCCCCACCAGCAACAGTCATTTAAAATGTATTTTCACAAGAACAGACTTACAGCTGCAAAGGAAATAACCAATGTAATCCATAAACAGCCTAACATATTTTATTAGCATTTTATCCACATTGATGAAAATTGGCAGACTTCTATTCATTTAGGTGTAGTTAGTGATTTATACAGTCACAGGGCTAAAATCCTCAATTTTAAGGTAGGAGGGAGAAAGGGAACTCATGCTTAGGATGAACAGTATAACCTATGACAGAACAACTTCTACCAAATAGGTTTACTTGCTTTATTTCATTTTACAAGTAAATTTCTTTGGTAAAAGTAATTACAAATATATTACTTTTGTTATTATTTTGTAAGGAAATAATTTTAAAATGGCCTTATAATATTTTCAATATATGTAAATGTTTTTCTCTATTTTAAGAGGGAAGAAATATGAGAAGAGGCACATTGAATTGTTTACAGACCTTAGTAGTCCTGTCAGTGAGGATCAGCTGGAAATTATCATTGCTAACTTGAAGAAAACAGGAACTTCAATTCAGTTTTTGTAAGTATGAAGATGGCTGCTATGTACTATGCCATCTTTTAAAGGGAAATTATTCTTTCTTAATTGTTATCTTGAAATAGCAAGTACTTCTATCAGTTATACATACTTTGAATTCCACTTATGAGCCAAGTCCCCTTGGTTAAATAATGTGCAAATAAACGTTAAGATGATGGCTTCTTCTCCACTTAAGCTTATAGCTTAGAGCCAAAGTGTAAAATGAGAGACAGAAGAAAAATATAAGCAGAGAATTAGAATTAGGAAACAATAAGCCAAAAATAGCCTCAGAAACTGGTTTTGTCACAGCAACAGCCTAGATCCTTTTAGGTAAGGACATTACTGGGAAGAAATAATGAGAGAGTGTTGCAGATATTAATAGCTTGATTTTGGTGTCAGTAGAGGAGCAGGTCTGAAGTGAAGGGTTACATTCACAATGATGGGCTTGGAAGATGGAAGCAATGTCTTCTGTGTTAGAACAGGAATCCCTTGATTGTCATGCTGTAGATAAAGGCATTGATCCAAATAATCAGTGGTGGTGTTAAGGTCTGTACGTGATGGCAATTGGAAGCTGTTAGCCTTCTAGAGGAGTTTATTTAAAAGCAAAACTTTATCTGGCTGTTGATAATAAATACTTCCACAGGAGAAAGTTAAAGCTCTAGTTTTACTTCTGACCATGTACTTTTACCTAGGTCTAGCATTCTGTAAGGAACAGTGTTGTGAACTTAATAATGAATTAATTTAAGCCATTTGCCAACCCATCTGGAAGATAAGAGGGGTTAGGTAGGGAAATGTGACTGAAAGTCATGGTCTGATCCTCCACAAAAAAATCTTTGGCTTTGCTTAGAGGAGGCTTTATGCAAAAATACCAGGTTCTGTCTGCACAGGAAAAGCAGTTCTGCTTCCAGTGTGACATGCCCCTCCTGGCTTACTTGAGCTGTTGTTGGTATTGGAGGCAGTAGAGGTGCATCACCATCAGTTTGAGTACCTCTGCCAGTCAGAGTGCATCTTTTGGAGCCCTGGTATTCAACTGCTTCTCCCTTGTCTATGAAATATTGCTGTTACAGCACTGGCTGCAGGTTTGCACCCACAGGAGCAAAGGATTATTTGATTTTTACCTGCACAAATATAAAGTGCTTGTTTTAAAAAAATGTCTTGCTAAACCTTTTGTTATAACCTATGCTTCCATCTCTTATGCCCTGATCATAGACTGGATTGTAACTTGCAGCAGAGAGTTGGTTTTCCTGCCTGCTTCCAGGTGCCAAGCACATGCTGAGCACTGTGTAGTGTTGGGTATTACATACTTCTCATCACAGTAGTCTCTGGGTATTGTATAGTGAATGTAGCCTAACTTCACCTATCAGAGATTTGAAGCTTTTTGATATTGCCACATCAGCTTCATCAGCTTAAAAATACAGTTTCTGTATTTTGTCAGTGGAATCTGCTTCCTAAAAAGGTACCAAACACTTTGCTGAAGCTTGATCTTTAATTTGGCTCTATGTGACATTGTTGTGCATAATGTTAACTCTGTTGCTTCATGAATAAGTTTAGTGAGGACTAATGAGGTGGAAGTATGATAGAGATGTGTAGGCTGCTTTTTAAAAAACATAATACAATGCTAGTTATTTCACTTTGTAGAAATGTGGTAAAAGGCATCATGTGGTTCATTCAGAATAGGATCAGATGAAAAATCTGCAGGTGTTTTCTGGGGCACAGAGTTGAGGATCTTACACATTTTTTGCTACTGTGTTTGTTATATTTAGTTAACACTCTTCTATATTTTGAAGAACAGTAAAATCATTTTATCTATAACCCCTGGCTAAATTTTAAAATCTGAATCATGAAGTGCAAGAAAAATGTGTCATCTTCAGTCAGAAATTCACCCAGTGTTGTAAGCTATTAAAATCTCAAAGAATAACATTTGTTCCAGAAATACCTAATAGCTCCACTGCAGAGAATGTCCTGCTTGCTGGCATTTTGAGCCAATACAGAGTCACAGGCCTGGAACAGCCTTTAACAAGTCATCTGGAGCAATCCTCTGCTTCAGACTGGGTCAGGTGTATGTCTGTCATTGCTGAGCAGTGTTTGTTTAACCTTCTGATAAAGATTTGCAGTGATGGAGACTCTTCTCTCTCCTCAGGCAGTTGGTTTTAGAGATTATGGTTTGAAACGCCTTTATCAGGTTTTTGACTGTCTGACCTGACTCCATGATGTGATAGGTGTGCAGGCAGAATACAAAGAACTGATTGTTTCCTTCTTCTCTGCAACAGCTTTTTGTATTTAAGGCTGTCTTGCCCTCTAATTCCCTTCTCTATGGGCTTTATTTTGCTCAATCTTTTTTAATGGATCTTGCTTTCTAATCAGCATTGACTTTACTGTCTAATCTATTCCTGTACGTGGATGTCTTTATTGATGCACCATACACAGAACTGGTGCATCACTCTGGTCAAGATGTTACCAATGCCAAGTAGACTTGAAATACTGCTTTATTTATTTTGCAAGTCCTGTGGCTCTTTATACATCTGTCTGCAGCTAGATAGGAATCGTTGATCCGAAGAACATTTTTTTGTTTTGTTTTGCTTGGTTATTTTCATAAGGAAGAAAGTCAAACTAACTGCTTCTTCTTTTCTTCTTAGTCTGCCATTCCCAGTGAGTGTTGATGATGGAAGTGGAGATAAAAGTGCCAGTGTACATGCTCATATGCACAAAAACTTTTTTCCAATAAAGGGTTTAACTGAACAACAAAAGCAAGGTATTGATGTGGTGAGGAAGCTCATGTACACTTTGGATGAAGAAGGAGGGCTGGAAGAAATTTATACTTTCAGGTAAATTTGGTTATTGTCCTATAGATATGCTTCCTGATTTCTTCTCCAAAAGATGAAGTTAACTAATCAGTTGAAGTCACTGAATTTTATGACTTACTGTACCCTCAGTCCCCTTCATACAGCTTCTTCAGTGGCTTTAGAATAAGTAAAAGAGCTTAGAGATTTCAGGGGAAAATGAATTTTCTATATCTGTATTTAAATATAAAATTCAGTTTACTTCCATCTTTTGTGTTGGAGGATTTTGGAGGGAACATTTCTGTAAATGTCATTTCAAAAGCATGTTTTAGAAAGAGATGGAATTTGTGGCATAGTTCAGCTTGAATATCTGCATTTAATGGTAGCCTTTGCTCCTTGGTTGCAGACTACTTTTAGCTCACTAGTTTGATAAACTCCCACGAATTCTTTGAGTAAATGTTGTTTTTTGAATCCTGCTCTTTAATCACAGTCTACTGTGCCGCTGTGACAAACAATAAACTTTTTTATTTTCATTTTTCTTGCATTAGGAATGCAAGAATTGAAAGATGATTTTTCACTTCTTGTTTTCCCAAGGAAAGAATAAAAGTTTGTGTATCTCTGAAAAACTGTAGCTAATGATACATCCCAGACTTTTCTACATAGGTGTTGTCTTAGTTGGGAAACAGGCAAAATGCACCTACGTGCCTTATCATAGTCTGATGTTACTGTCTCAGTAGTTTTGTTCTACAGTTATGAAAAGTGATCTTTTAGACAATGTGATTTTCAGGAAGCTTAGCAGACCACAGCTGTTATGTCATTATCAAAGGTAATTTTTAGAAGAGGGTTGTCCCTGTAGGTTTGTATGCTGTAATTCATCAGTTTATTTGTGGGATTTCCTTCCCTCCCCCAGCTCAGCTGATCAGCTTTGCACCTCTGCAGCCAGAGAAGCTCCTTGAGCATTACTGTGCATTAGTGAAGAGACACGTGTCACTGTGTCTGTGTTCTGCACTAGTCGACAGAGCAGTCTGAGTCTCTAGAAAAAAGCAGGCTTTGTCACTGCTTCAAAGACTGCACAGAAAAGCAGAATCTTTCCTGGCCCATTTATCCTTTAGGATAATCCATATGCATGAACCTACCATGTGGCTTGGCCTCTTTATACTTTTTTTATCACAGACTCTTGCTACTTTACAAGCTGTCTTTGTGCCATACTTTCAGGGGAAATCCAAAATCTCTGGATAAATAGGCATTTGGCTAGTAGATTAAAGCTTTAGTTGGAAAAGTTGTTTAAGAGTATGTGAGGTTTTAAATGCAATTAAGTTGCTTATCAAGCTTTGAGAAGTCAGCTTTGCAAATCTATCATGATAATTGGCCAACGCAGATACACTCTCCATTTTCCTAGATTAATTATTCCTCCTGGTAAAAATATTTCAACTCTTGTAAAAATAAATTAGCCATGCCAGGAAAGTGAGTGAGGAGGTTTTGTTGTGATTTTTTGTTATGATACTCAGCCTATTAGACAGAAGGTACTTCAGCTGCTTCTGGTCTTGAGGGAAGGGATAGCAGAACAGAAAGGTTGTGTTCATGAAATACAAGCTGAAATGTATGTTTGCAAGATTTTATTGACTGGGTCATCTTTAATTACAGGTAGCATTTTTCTTCTGTAAATATAAGAAATTAAAAGAGATAATAAATTGATCTTGAATTACATTTTTGGGCATTTGGCACTTATATATTTGATTTTTGTACTCATCCCTGAATGTGTGTGTTACAGTACTCCTAATGATGTACTGCCATGTTCTTTTTTAAAATCCTCTACTGGTGTCTTTATTGCTAGCAAAAAAAATCTTCCTTTCCCTAAGGGAAAAAACCCCCTCAAAACTAAAAAGGGAATTCAGTGTTTATCTCATATAAAAATCTCAGTGTGTTTTTGCCTTTCATTGTGCATTTAGAATTTAAAAAAAAACAACCCTGTTTATACTAGGAAACCTGAAAAGTAGAATACCAAGTTGAATTCTCTACTGATAATTTTAGGGTTGATTTCTGACAGACAAGTGCTTTAATCAAGAGAGTGGTGGATTCCAAGTTTAATCATAATATGAAAAGGAGTAGTTCAGCTTTGTTTTATCTTTGCTTTATCATGCAATAAAAGAAAAAAAATTGAGAGCTTTTTCTATGTTGGAGTTTTACAGCCAAATTACCAATACAGTTTGTATTAGTTGAAAGCTATTTAGGGAGGCAAGCCTATTTGAATTCACAATGATATATTATAAATTACTGTGAGTTGTTAATTTTGGACTCCATTGCTAAAAGTTGTGCAATTAAGTTAACACTTTTTAGTATAAATTCATTACAGTTCCTTTTTTGTATTTTTTTTTTTACTTATATATCTGCTGTTTAGGCTAGAAATAGTTGAAGTAACTTCTTTCACTATGACAGAATGCCCTGAAATTAATGAGTTCACTAGTACTGTATTAAAAAAGTGTCAAAAGTTAATTTCTACATAAACAAAATCCTGTTAATTGAAACTGGATTCTTTATTTCTTTAGCTTCCCTATAGAAAGCATTTTACCACTTAGAGAGCCTTTTCTAATTTGTGTTGTTCAGCTTGCTACATGCCCTAATTGGATGAGCACAGAAAAATGGGAAATGCTTAAGGAGCAATTGTGTGGTTTTATCACTAGACCTAACACAGTGCCTTTAAGCCCTAGTGTCACACATCATAAAGGCTCAGGATGGGGATAATATGCTGTACCACCTCTTTTTGTCATTCTCTTTTCTGACAATGGGTAATGGTAAGATTATTGATCCAGTTTATTTGCTTTGTGCAATATAAGCTGGAACAGTTTGGATTCCTGCATTTCCTTAGGAGAGAGTGTATTGTCTATAATACTTTATTACAGTTCACCAGAGTTCATTGCTGTTTTCCTGATTCCTTCATTTAGAGAGAGCCTGGAACGCCTTTCAATGTTTAAGAAAATGGAAAGGAAGCCAATGCCTTGGCCCTGCCAGCTCACTATTGGTCCTAATTTGTCTATAAGGATTGTGGCCTACAAATCAGTAAGTGTGTAAAATTATATGTTCTAGTGCAATTTGGCAGCAAGTTAGGTGCCACTACATGTTGGGTTTTTTTTTTCCTTAGAGCTAAGAAAATAAAGATAAAACAACATCCAGATAATTACGATAGAGATTTTTATTTGGTTAGAAGCCAGTACATCTAAAATTCTGGTTCCCACAGCAACTTTAACTTCACCATACACATTAAATAACTAAAATTCATAAGGTACAGAAATAGGAGTAATTGCTATCTACTCTGGCACTTAGTAGTATTTGAGTTGATGATCCTGACTAAGAATGCTGTGACTGAAGATTTACATTTAGCATCAGTGATATGTGAGACTTTATATATATTTCTTAAGCCCTAGGCATGAGAATAATTTTTGGACATGTGTGCCTGAAATGGTGGGTGTAAATGTTTTACCAGCCATTGTTTCAAATCACATCTGTTGTTATTTCAGACTTGGAATAAAAGGTCTGTTTTTTCAGCTTGTTTGTACTGTTTGACAGAGCTTGGGCCCAGTCTGTTTCTTATGGTTGATATGGTTCCTTTAATCAGTGCTAGGAAAAAGTAAGTGTGTTTAAAGGCATCAAATGTGCATATTTCTAGTTATAGAATAGTTAATAGGTAACTGTGTAGTGTGGCAGTATTGATGAAATATATCTGAAGTCTGAGAGCTGGGTATTCTAGCCTTGAAAGTCATCAACTTTCTATTTAGAGTTGCTAAAATTTTTTTATTAGGCTATTGTGCCAGACTGGTGCAAATAGACAGAAAGAGTCCCCTCCCAAAGATGTTTACACACAAAATAAAGTAAGTTTGGAACAATAGGCAACATGAACTGAGTGACTGGCCTGAGGTCATACAGCAGTCATACTGACATAATCTATTCTGTCTTTAGTGTTTTCTGCTCAGCTCTATGTTTTTCTTCTCATGTACTAGCTATGCCATCAATTTCACTTAAGCAGAAGAAAAGAAGGCACTTTTATTTCCCTGTAGTTGGGAAACATTCTCTCATTGTCAATACATATTCCTTCTTTCCCTCCCAAGTCCTATAATGCAACTGGGATCCTTTTGCCTTTTGGGAAAGTTGCAGTAATATAAGGTATTTTTATCCTGTAGTGTAGCAAGTCTGATGGAAAACTTGGCCAAGCAAACTGAGTGAACATTGAGTCTTACTGTATCTTTAACATATTTCTTAATGCTTTGGCAAAAGTATTTATTCATTTGGAGGTAGTCAATTGCATAGCAAGCAAGTTACATGGTATACTGAGCCTCAAAGACTTCCACAAATGGCTTAACCTACAGGTTTAATGAAAAACCAGGACAAGTATGCTGTCAATATGGTACAGTCCATGTGTAAGGTCTCTTAGAGATGAAGCAGTGCTGAAAGCACGTGGTAGCAGCCAGAGATGCATTATTTGACAGACTTTATTATTTTTTTTGTTGGCAAAACAAAGCAGCACTCAGGCTAAAGATTTTTTGTGTGTTGTGTTCTGGTAAGTACTGTGGATCCCACTGAGATGTTAAACATTCCTTTTCTTTGAATTCTGATACCAAGGTCACAGAAGAGAGGGTGAAAAAACTTTGGGCAATTGTGGATGCTAAAACCCTCAGAAGAGAGGATGTGCAAAAAGAGACTGTTTACTGCTTGAATGATGATGATGAGACAGAGGTTCAGAAAGATGATACTATTCAAGGTATGACATCTTTAAGTGTACCCTGAAGACAGAGGGAAGGTAATGGCTTGGACTCTTAGGTCACCTAAGGGCCTCCTAGTTTTATACCTTGAAGCCTTGCTGTGGTCTTAGAATGCGAGCCCTGTAGGCTGGTGGAACAGAAACTGTTACATGAGACTCTTTGTTTTCACATATTTTAAAAAAATCTTACTTTGCCAGTAGTAGGAATAATAATAATAGGAATAATAATGACAATGGGAATAATAATAGTAGAACTAATGACAACAATAATAATAACAGATGAAGCTTAGAAGGCACTACAGCTTTCTGAACTACGCACTGTGGAAGGCCATACTCAGTTCTGTAGTGAGTAGTTCTGCTACCACTATTCCATTTTTAGATCTTCACTTGTACTGATAACATGAATGCTTTCATAGTGCTGCTTTTTTGTAGATGAGCAACTGCTCTAGTTATTCTGCACTTGGAAAGATGAAGCCATCAAAGGAGGGTTTAGTGTTCAAGAGTAGCAGCTTTGCTGTACTATAACAGGATCAGTCTGAAGTAGTGGTATGCAACATACCTTTTATGACCTGCAGCTTCTTTCTGCACAGATTAATTTCCTTAGAACACTACAGGCCCCAGAAACAGCAGGAAATAGTGTACTTACTTTTAAAAATTGAGTTAAGCAAATCTGTTTCATTTTTTTGTGATTGTATAGATATATTTTGTTACTAGTTTTTTTCCTTTCCTTTTCTCTTTCAATCCCACAGAAATAGGGCAAGTATATTAACTATAAAGAGCAGAACTATTCAGATAACAGTATAGAGTGTGCTGTCAGATGAATAACATAAATTGAAAATTAGAATAAGCTGTATTTTTTAATTTAATCTATTTCAATTTTAGCATTTATAGGTGTTTCATAGCAGTATCAGATAAAGCCCCAACGACAATGTGACCTTCTTTAATCAAAAGTGATGGTTAAAAGATGGTCTAGTTACATTTTACAACTTCAAAACTGTGAAAAAAAATCCACTTCTTACAGAGAATGCATTTTGGAGGATTTGCAACTGTTCTCAGCTAATCTCCTGACTGCTTAAGTTAGTAAGTAGTTGTGGGATACTAGTAAAAAGAAGTGGTGAGCAGTTCAATGTAAACAAAAGAGATAAAAGATTTCCTTGTCAGTGCTATTTCTAATGCTAAAGAGCTCCTGATGCCTCCTGGACTTCAGTGACTCTTTTGAGAAATGTCATAATTAGACAATATTTTGTATTTGCAGCACCCGTAGTGAAATTTCTTTCATTCTGTGTGTTTGCTTTTCAGTTTGTAGGAAAATGTATCTGCTTATAGGTTTTTCATCCAGGGATTTATCTCTGTTCCTTCTGCTTTCTGCACACCTGAGGATATCATCCTTAGTCTGTGGCAACATAATAAATTGATGGCATTACAGGAAGGATATTGGAAGCTGAGATAGGAGAATAAGCAGTTGGAGCAGATGATACCTCTGAGAAATTACAGCTTCCTATTTTGTGGACATATACCTGTAATGTATGGCATGGGAAGTAAAATACAGAAATAGATAAAAAGACCAGTTCTGCATACCAAGAGTGTTTTGGTTTTCCATTGTGTACCTTGCTTCTACTATTAGCACATTTTATTTTCTGAATCTCTTCTGGTGTCACCTCATGTGATATGATTTGTGGTATGTTTGAGGTGGCTTGTATTATGTTTGCAGAGAGTGTTGCAATCTGTTTGCTGAAATCTATTCTGATTTGCTTAAATCTATTCTGTGAGCATAACTTTGTTAGGCAAGATGTTCCCTTATTTTCTTTCCTGCTCTCTGAGAGTACTTGTGTTACATAAAATGATGTACAAGGAGTGCTTTGTGAAGTACAAAATGTGTCTATGGGTGTTTGGGTTTTTTTTGCTAACAGGGAAAGTAATTTGATGAGCATGTGTGGAACGTAGCTGTGGGGCATGAATGCATTGTTAAAATATTCAGAGAGCTAATTTCAGTGTTAAAATTGTAGGCCCATATGCTTACCAGATGCTCTTCTCTCGTTCTCCAGGTTTTCGGTATGGGAGTGATATAGTTCCTTTTTCCAAGGAAGATGAAGAGCAAATGAAATACAAAACAGAAGGAAAGTGTTTTTCTGTTTTGGGATTCACTAGATCCTCACAGGTGTGATACTAAATGTTTTCCTATTCAGCTTCCTGGGTTATTCAAGACAGTTGATCTTGGTTTGAATTCAGCGACGTCATGGTGTTGTGCTGGGTTTCAGTATTGGGAATGAGACAGCTCCACTCAGGTATGCAGGGGTGACTTATTTGCTGATTCTAGTACATGTAAGCAATATGTGGTCTTGTGAAGGAGAGAAGCTCATAAGTGTGGCCATTGGTCTCTCAAGTGAAGCCGGAGCCACTGAACTCAGATCTCTGCAAGGAGGAGACAGAGGTATTGTGGTCTCATTTCGTCTCCCAGACTTTAATAGTCTGTCTTCTGTTCAGCTCAGGCAACAGCCTTTCTGGGCTTTGTCCAGCCAAGAGTACGGCTGCTTCTTAACAGGAGCTTCTCCCTCAACATTAAAGTAGTGTTAAAGCAAGCCTGAAGCTGACTCCATTCATTCTCAATTCCATAAGGATTAGTTTGTGAACCATGACTGGTCTCTTCTTTCTATTGTGAAAAAACTTAAACGTAGTGAAGACTTCTTAGACAAAGGTAGCATAATTCAAAAGCTCTCCATATTTCTGTGAGATGCTCAGTGTTTGTAATGCACTTATCTCTACTTGTGGTATTGACTTTGCTGTTTGTTGTCCCTGACAGTTGTAAGAAACTTATTTTGAGCAAGTACTTTAATAAAAGTTACCCAGCACAAGGTGATTTCCTTCAGAAAATCCAGGACTTAAGCATTAGCAAAGCCTTAGGCAAAGGCTTAACAAAACTGTTATTGTAGAAGGACACATGAAGAGAGAGGTCAGAGATGTGAGTGCCAAGTAATTGCTGTGGATGTTAAGCTGCTCCCCATCTTTTTTCTCTGAAAAAGTTTCTGATTGAAACTTTAGTCATCTTGGAGTTACCTACACCCAGTCCTCTTCACCAGTCAAAACTGAAATGAAATCATAGGGCAGTTCTACACCTTCACTTCTGAGAGCTCCCAGCCCTCCTGCTCTTTGAAATCTCTCACTGTCTGAACGAATGAGAACTCTTGATAAAGGCTAAGGCATCATCACCTTTGCAATGAAGGAAATATGCTAATGAATTAGGAAGCATCTGTGGGAAGTTACTCCCAAATGGATGTAACTAAACATATTCTTACCTTGCAATACAGGTGACACAGAGACCTTGTGCATGTTGCTAGATGTGTCATTAGACTACTGCAGTGCAGCGTTCTAAAACATAAGCACTGAGGAGCCAGGAAGTTATGTGGTTTACTGAAAGGACAAGCCAGCCCAACTGGAATCTATAACCTGGTTGCTCCCTGAGGACTTTCAGACTTGTTGAGTGATGTGGGAGCTGTGCACTGCAAGTGATTGATCAAGGAAGCATCTTATTCATGCTTGAGCTTATGTGCCCTAAATTGGCCAGGCCAGAGAGGTGTTAGGGAGTGCTACCTCCTGTACCAGAAACTGGATCTAATAATAAGTGAAATGTGTCTGAATCCTGTGTTCCAATGAGACAATTTCTTGGATCTCTTCATACGTTATTAGCCTCCAGCTGAGTCTTACTATTGTCATTTAGTTCTGCAAGATGTATTTTGCTGTGTGCAGAGTTTTCTTATGCTGGAGGTTGGCCTCCTGTTTCAGCTTAGTCTGACTTTATTTGAAAATGGAAACTAAGAGGAAAGCAGATGAGGAACATAGTGTTTCTCTGAGCAAACTGTTATTTCATGTGGATTTTTATTTTCCCATTGTTGGTCAGATAGTGTGGTAATACCTTCAAATACATGGTTAATAATTGTAGGGTTACAGTTAATTTTAGGAATACTTTTTGAGTCATGTACATATGCATAAAAGAATTAACAAGTTGTTTTTAAAATTTTTCAATGTACCAAATACCGATTGCTTTTAATTAATTTGTATTATATACTCCTCTTGTCTCTGGATTTCATAAGAAACAGAAATTATATCTTAAAGTGTACTCTGGTCCTGTAGCCAGGAGTATGAGTAGTTATGCACAGTAGTGGCTGCACATCCCCTCAGCGGAATAAAGTTATTCAGGCGTGCTTGCAGGATTAAAATTATAGTGGATAGGTAATGATATCAGGAAGATTTAACTACAGCTGGAATTTTCAAGACCCATATGTTATCTTAAGTTTTGCCTCCTAAATTTTATTGTTTGGAATGATAAAACTGACACTACTGAAATGTACGTTTTATATTAAATTGGTTTTTTTTTTAAACTTTGATGGAAAGATGATTTGTTATTGACTAGAAAAACTGGCACAGATCCAAATAAATAATTAAATAAGGAATAGAACCACCTTATATTCTTTTCCTGAGTTGTTCACATCCCTCAGGAAAGAAGATCAGAGGCCGCTTAAACTTTGATTTTTAATTTATAAGCCATATCATGTAAATCAAGAAATAATACCTGAAAATATTACAAAGGGACAATTTCTTTTGCAAACAAAAAAAGGTGTAGTATACATCACACATCTTATGATGTATACTATACTGAATGTAAAATTTCCTGAGCATTTAGAGACAGAACAGGAGAGAAGGATTGCAGGTAGAATAATCTGAGCTGAAGAATTGTGCTGTAATACAGTGAACAGACCTGCTCTGGTGCAGGTTGTCACTGACTTTAACAGCCTTATGGTAATTTGCTAAATAAAGAAGATAAAATAAAAAGGTAAAATGAATGAAAGAAAAATCAAAGATATAATGACGTTAGTTCTGAGACTGTAATGTAAAGAGTTTTTTCTTTAACAAAGAGAGGTTATTTTAATCAGTGTCCATAGTAGTGTGTGATCTTTGTGACAGGTCTCCTATGATTGCAGGCTTTCTGTGTGTGTGAGCTGCTGTAGCTCCAGCTGTTCCAGTGATGCCCCTTGATGAAACTCTTTTTCCTTTTTGTTTTAGATTCAGCCATGTTCATGAATAGAATAAACTCTGCTAACAGAAGTGCTTTTTTACTAGCACAGCTGTATATACTCTGGGTTGGTGTTGAAGTAGCTTTATTAATTAAGGATGAGACTTTTTGTGGCTTCTTTTTGATGTATCTTTGCTAGAAAAATTTAATAGCATAGATATGGTAACCATTAGGTTTAGGCCTTGTATTAACTACTGTAGTTTTCCACAATGGCTTTTGAATTACTGAAGTATAATTCAAACTGGTAACAGCTGCCAGTAGCACTGTCTTTCATTCCTGCCCATTACTTGGAGGCTATGATAATATCCTATCCAATATGACTGAATATTCATATTTAGTGATAAATGGAGATATGAGACAAATACAGGGCTTTAACCTCTATGCACTCTAATTAAATTTGGCAACTTCTGACTTGAGTAATGCTAGTTGTTTTATAATTTAATTGGTCCACTTGTATTAGTGACCTTTTCTTTAGGTCAGGCTAACTCTTGACCATTTGAATCTGTAGATCCAGAGGCATTACTACATGGGCAACCAAGCTCTGAAGGTCTTTGCAGCAAAGGATGATGCGGTAAGGTAAACTGAAGTGTAATTTCAACGTATTTTACTGCAGAAAAAAAAAGATAGTAGTGATGCTTGAGAATGTCCTGTCTTTCTGTGTAACAAATAATTTTAATGCAGTTTACAGAAATGTCTAATTTCATTGCCCATTAGGATAAAAAGAAGTTGGATTAAACCCCAAATGAATACAGTATCTCATGAATAAGGAAAAACTGGTAGATACTATGTTTGAGCAAGGTTGTGAGGAACCTGAAATTGGTGCTGAAGTTGATTCTCATGCAGAGCAACAGTGTGCCCTGTCACTGTCTTATTTAGAACAGACCTTCAAAGAACTGGAGGTAAAAAGCTCACTGTGGAGCTCTAATATGTTCCTTTAAGGGACTTTCCTCCCTTTTGCTATCTCATGGAAAACCTCTGAGAGTTCTTCACACCTGGTGAAAAAGGTGGAATGTGCTGAATCTAAAGTTGGCTCAGCTTTGAATGGATCCACTATCGTGATGAGATTTGACCTTTCTGCTTCTTTGATTTATGAACATGAAAAAATGCTGTTAAAGTTATAGCTGAAATGGAAACTAGTATTGACTAAATCAATGCTGCTGAATTCCCTGTGAAAGATGTATTTCATGATTAAGAACTTGCATGACTTTTTAGACTTCTTTTTTCCCTCCAGAATGCAGCAGTTGCTTTTTCTGCACTTGTTCGTGCATTGGATGAGTTGAAAGTGGTGGCTGTAGTGCGCTATGCTTATGATAGAAGATGCTATCCACAAATTGGAGTAGCTTTTCCATATATTAAGGATACATATGAGGTAATTCTTTTCTCTTGCCCTTCTGCAGAGAGACCCAGAAGCAACACAGTATGTTAGAACTTTTGCAGCATATGTTTCCCCTGATCTTTCTTACGAGAGACTATTGAAAGAGCTAAATATATGTAGCATGGCTGAGCAGTGACGGAGGTGGGGGCGGACACAACAATCTTCAGACTTTTGAAGGGTATAAACATAAAAGATGGAAAGGAATTATTTAGGGTGGTATGAACTGGAGGAGGTAATTGAATAAAGAAAAAATGAGGCAGAGAAATGTTAAAAAAACCAAATCCAGCTTTTGACTTTGGAATACAGTAAGCTGTGATAAAACCTCCCAAAGTGCCAATATATTGGATATTTAAAGCAGGGATAATTGGAACTCTGCACGAGAAAAAGGGATCAGATGGGTGGGGAGGTCTTTATTTCACAAGCAGAAAAATCGAGTGTAGCCATCACTATGTTATAAAATACAATGCTGTGTTTTATTCTGATTCAAATTGTGTTGCTCTGTATATATTTAAAGTGTTTTGATGTGCACAGACATTACATCTTCAGATTTTTCTTGGGTTTTATATTGCCCTGATATGGTACTCTAGGGATAGAGATTTTTTTTTTTCTTCAGGCTCTTGTTTTTTCTTTCTTCTTGCACAGTGTCTCATCTATGTGCAGCTACCCTATATGGAAGACTTAAGACAGTATGTATTTTCATCCTTGAAAAACAGTAAAAAATGCATTCCTACAGGTAAGATATTTGCTGGTCAAGTAACCTGCTTGTTGTCTTCTAAGATGCTCTAAAAGAGTTAGAATATTTGGCTCACCAATGAAAGCATAAGTTCTGTTGTTATTTTGGCTTAGGAAAACACCCAGATATTAGGGCATCCATTATGGTGATGTCATCTTGAAGTGTAAATGTGTATTAAAGCTTTGGCACTTCAGGTGCAGGCTGAGCAGACCAAAGTTTGCAGGCAGTGTTTCAACTATCCTGTGAAATGACAGCTTTGTGAGTCTCACAAGCTCCTGTGATAGAGAGCTGTGATTAGTCCTCTGTATCCTTTGATCTTTGAACTCATTTGTGGGCGCAAATGGCCAAACCTTGTGGGATCTGCAGTGTGTGATTAGCTAGCTAGAATTAGAACAGAGGCAGCTGCTCTGTTGGTGCAAAGCTGGTCCTCTAGCCATTTGCAGTATGGCCTGTTAATAAAATGTGCAAAGGCAAAGACAGTATTTTCTGTGGAGTGTTATTAAACTGTGTGCTTATTGGTGGATGGCATCTTTGGAGAACATGCAGCTACACAAAACTTGACTTGCTGTTCTGAGAGTTTTTCACAGCAATGAGTCTTAAGTGGATGTAATTTAAAATCCACTCCTGCGTCTTTCATTTGTTATGAGATGCATTGAATGGGCACCTGCACGTCAGGGTATATTTAGCATGCTGGTTTGTTTCTATAGCTGTTTCTGTTTTCTTGCCTGTAACTAGCAGTTTGATAACAAATCTAAAACCTGTCTTACCAAAGCAGTAGCTGGCTATTGTGAACTGTGTTAATTTGCAATCATAACTTTAAAAATTTATATTATGCTATTTAGTTTTGCAAACCAACTGTTATCCTTATTTTCTAAGTGGCCTATAAACCTTCTGTTGCAAATGAAAACATCTTGAAAAAGAAGAAAAGCTAAAGCAGAAAGGCAACAATAATTGAGGTCTTGGGGGAAAAGGAAAAGTCTTTATGACTTCACACTGTAGTCATTAAATAAAGCAGGTGTTTATTATTGTGTCCATTATCCATATTCTTTTTTGGCACATCCATAGCTGCAGTGTGTTCTGTGGCATGTAATGACTGGGTGAAAATCTCGCACTGTGAAGCAAATCTTCATTTATAAATTGTTTCAAGAAATGCATCCATCTGCAAGTGTATTTAATCTTCCTTTGTATGTAATTGCTGCCTTAGTGGATCAGTTATCTGCTGTTGACTCGCTGATTGATTCTATGAATTTGGTTCATGAAGATGGAGAAACTTTTGAGGATCTATTTAAGCCCAGCAAAATTCCAAACCCTCATTTTCAGAGATTATATCAGGTGAGATGAACTGTATGATATTTTTAAAAAACTTTTTTCTTAAGACTTTTCAGCCTTCTGTCTTTCTTTGATTCACGTTGGAAAGATCTGCATTGTGAAAATGCAGATATAAATCTCTGGCATTAAAGTATGTGGTAACCGGTGATTTCTGTGTTGTCCCTGACATGGATTTATCTTTAAAATTTCTAGTTTCCAGGAAGGAAGGGAAATTATACCTGTGCTGAGTTGTCCACAACAGCATCAGTGATATTCACAGGCACATAGACTAGGCAAGTTAAAACTTGTGTCTCAACACTGTATTGTGGACATAGATTCAGTCTTCGGCTTTTGAACAAAGAGAAAAATTGGCTGAAAATTGGGGATATCTTCAGCTTCTCATTCTGTGTCCCATCACTTTTCTGTGCAGTGTTGCATCTAGCAGTGTTCCAAAGTAGGTCAGTCTGAGGTGAACTGGATCAGTAATAAATGGTTTATTAACATTGTTGACATTTAAAATGTTCTGTTGGGGTGTCTAAGCTGATGCACTTTACGAGCCAGCAGAACAGTTCACACTTCCTGCAGTTATTATATCAAGCTGTCTCCATTTTGATTTGTATTCCTTTCATATCACGAAGACTTTCATTGCAACTGTGAGGATGAGAGACTTAATTATACATTGGAATTCAAGTGTTTAAAAAATGACGCAGCAAATTCAAAAATAAAGAAAATTATGTTGCAATTCAAGCAACTGCAGAATTGTACTGTATGCAGAACCATGGAGATATATTGAATGTGTGATTCTGCTCTGAAAATTGACCAAAAATGGTATTATAGCAATCATGTTCATATCTCAGCAATTCTACATGTTTTATTTCGGTTTACAAGTAGGAAGAAGATGTTTTTTTAAATTAAAAAAACTTACCCTAGCTTCCCAAAGCCTTGCTTCCTCAGTGTTTTTAAAATAACCAAAGGATCTGAAGGTCAGTGTGTGCTTCAGGAATACATGTAAGCCCACTGTCTTCAACACTATTCTGATTGACACCTGAAGAACTCAGAGGTCTCATCAAGTTCTGCCAGTCATATTGACAAGACAGTGTGTAACTGAGTGCAAGATTTGATCAGTTGGAGGTTATTGCAGGGCAAGAACTTAAAATGAGCTGACCTCTTCACAACTCTTATTTTTGGAAGGGTTGTTAAGCTTGGATATTACAAAACTTGGGCATTGCTTGTAAATTAAGTACTTGGAGGGTAGAATTTCCTCTGTTATATTGCTAGACAGAGTTTTCCATTCTTTTAGTTTAGTGGATATCATTTATTGGTGAAAGATACTTTTTGTTAGGTGTGCTATTTTTCTTCTGAAACAGTGTGATGGTAGTGTTCCAGCCCTTGAGTCAATTGCTGCTGGAAGAGGGTAACTGAGTAACTTGCCAATTTCCTTAGAGGATTATAGGATTTTGTAAGGGTGAGTGCTACTGGTAGAAAAAGCATTTTCTGACTGAATGTATGGGGTAGGATGCAATTTCTGTCCTTGCTATTCAGAAAGCCCTAAACTGTCAGTCCTCTTAGTGCTTTGGGCCACACTCAGGCCCATTTGTTTGTATTATTAAAAAATTGCTATTAATCGGTGTACATTATTCTCTCCTTTGCTGTGAAGATATTCCAGATTCTTAGTATTTTGCTCTTAGGCAAAATGGCACTGCTGGTTCCTTAAGAACTGTGAAGAAAAATTCTGCATCACCTTTTGACTATAGCCAGTAAGTGGATTGGGCTGAATAGAACCTATAAATGGTTTTGAAAAATAACTCTGAAGAAAAGTATCAACTCCTACTTCATTTCCTTGCTTTGTTACCTCATGAAGATATTTGGAATGATAAGTGACAAGAGCCAGAATTTAAACAAAAACATCAAGCCAAATTATATCTCTGGAAGTAGTGGTAGGCATCAGGAAATGACAGAGTGGGTGAGAAGTAGTTGTTAATGCTTGCTGGAGTGGAAGATGAGGAAAATCCTATATCCAGACTTTCAACTTTTATTCCTTGCTTCCAGAAAAAATTAGGTGAACTTCTGTAGCTTTTGTAATGGTAGACTTCCAACATTATTGTTTAAATTGTCCATCTTAAATACAGGGATTTGAATCACCTAAGACGTTTAGGGAATGCAGTGCATTTTATTTGTTAGCCAAATAAGCAAATTGCTCAGCAATGGTGGTTCTGTAGAGAGATGGACCTGTTAGTCTGTTGGTGCATGTATGTCATGGCTTATCACAGAATTAATGGTGTGAAGCCCAGTTCATTACATTCATTAACCAGTATCTTGGTGTGACCCCTGTTCTGAAAGCTGACTGTGTCTCTAGAAGTGGAAATGTAAGAAATTAGGAAGAGCAATGAGGAAGCTAGTGCCTTGGTGACAGCAGGCATGAATAGAACAGTGAGTGTGCAAGGCAGTGGCAGTGTGGGTTTCCTCTAGCTATGAGGGTGAGAGTGATTCTTGCTGGACACAGAAGGAAGGGGGGAAGCAAGGTTAAGAGGGACAGTGTTGGTTTAGAAACTCCAGGTTGTCTGTTTAACTTAGTCTCCATTTAGCACCTGAGTTTTGACAGTACCTGCCATCTCAGGTTTGAAATGTAGTCATCTACTTTAAAAAGAGTTACAAGTGGATGCTGTGGCCTCTCATTCTGCTCAGCTCCTGCAGCTGCACGCATTAAGATGTCAGTTACAAAAGCCTGAAACACACAGGCATAACAGGGGACTTTGGCTTTTTGCTTTGTGAGTTTAATTCAATTACCTATTTTTTTTTTATCACAAGAGCCATTTGCTGCAGCTTCCAGCAACATTTTTTCTCTTTCAAAATAATGGTGCCTTAAATCATTACAAGTGTTTCCAAATCAGTAGCCTTGTACAACTGCCTCCTTTTGGCAGTATGTTCTAATATGGACTGGAATGTTAATGGCAGCCTGAAAACACATCAGTATTGATGTGTCACATTGTCTTGATTTTCTATATTGGCAGATTTCCAGTATGAATAGGAGCTTTTATTTGCTTTGTTTTTTAAATTAATGTCATGTCTGACAGCCAACAGGGGAGCAAATCTCTACTGTATTCCTAGTTTACTGAGTAGTACCTTCACATGGGTGTCTAATGCACCTAGTACCATGGGCATGGAAAAAAGTCTCCTTTGTATATCACATTTTGATGTGTTTGTGTGCATGCACTGGTATCTCTGTGTGTATCTGTAAATGCACATACCTCTCTACCGCTATCTCACACTTCACAAAATTGTAAAGATATTTACTTTGTTTCCAAAACCCTCCATGGAATTTCTGTAGCCTGCCTCATTAACCTCATCTCTCCCCGTCTGCTTGACTCCGTGGCTGTGTGCACTGACTCTACACTTGGGTGAAAAATCCTTCTCTGTAGCTCTCACCATCTGTTCCAGCTTTGTGCATCTGTCAGGCCCCTTCATTCCCTACTCCTTTCAAAGCTAGGTTCCAAACATGCTGATATTCTGTGCCTCACCTGTGCACATTTAATATTTTCTCTTTCTATTTACATTCTCTCAAACTTGTGAACATTCCTCCTGTATGCATACTGAGTGTGATTGACCAAGAGGAAGTTATTTCTTTGAGGGACAATAAAGTGTTACGATAACTGGAATGTGTGGTTGGGATAGATCTCATTTACTTAATGTTGAAGGGTATAGAAATCTCTCCCATGGCACTGTTTTATAAGAGAACTGCTTTTTAAAGGTAGAGTGAAGCTAAAAATATGAACAATTGCAGATGACTGTTTCATTCTTGAAATTTTTTAAATAATTTTCATAGCACTCATTCCAATGAGTGTGGGAACACTCATGAGCATCAGAATTCTTGTTTAATATCATTAATGATGTCCTTAAACAGTTGATCATAAACTTTCAGTCCATTGTGAGACAGAATATTTTTCAGCAATACAAAGATAGTATGTTTAATATGGGAGATATTTTGCAGTTACCATATGGTAAGTTTTTAATATAATTGAATGTTCTACTTTGCTCAGACTGTTTTGTTTCTTGCAGTGTTTGCAGCACAAGGCTTTTCACTCTGATAAGCCACTGCCACCAATAGAACAGCATCTTTTAGAAATGCTAGAGATGCCTTGTGTGGTAAGAGAAAGGTGTCAGGCTCCTCTGGAAAGAGTAAAAGCACTTTTCCCCCTGAAGGAAGTTGGCAAGAAAAAAGAAGAGAAGACTGCACAAGACATCTTCAAAGACAAGTACGTTAGAAATGTATTATGGATTTTTTTGAAACTTTTTTTTTTACACTTCAGGTTGTTTTTGCTGGATGAATCAGACTCAGAGTCTTTTGAACAGAAAATCAATGAGTTACACACTGGAAAAAATGCTGATGGATAGGGAATATTGTGGTGCCACAGAATGTCTGAAGTATCTTGTGAATAGTAGTGGTCATACTGTTGCAGTTCAGGATGCAAGAGGAACCAGTAAGTTCCTCATGTCTGGGGAACCTGTACCTACTCATGTAAGTTACTCTTGTCTGTATTTGCTGTCACACAATCACAAAATCCATCAGATTGAAATGGACCCCACTGGAGGCTTCTTGGTCAACCTGTTGCTCAAAACCATCTGTGAGATCTAAGGAGGGATTCATACAGTCTGGCTGAAAACCTTCAGGGTTTGTTCATCCTTTCTGAGCAACCTGTTGCATTGCTTCTTGTCTCCTGGTCAGGCAGGAGTTTGTCCTAGAGGTGGTTATAAAAGTTTGTCCTAAAGGTGGTTATAAAAGAGTTCAAATAACACTAACAGGAGGTCTAATTTAGTTCAGAATAAATGCCATGGGTCTTTAAATTAGCCATAAAGTTGAGCCTTCCTTCTCAGCATGATTGATTTAGGTAATTGTCTAGCTTTCATTTTGAATATCAAAAGAAAAGAAGTTTCAGTATTATCTGCTGTGCAATTAATGTGCTTTTCTCCCAAAAAAATCAAGCTGTTGTAGACTCTTCCTGGAACAGCTATTGTTTGAACAGCTTTAAGACAGGGTATTTCTGTTGTTATTGAATATACTGTGTTTAGTTTATTTGTGCTGCAGATAGGAAGAATAAATGCTAAATTGATACTGCAGTTGTACTGTCACCTCAGCCAAATCAATTTGCATAAACAAAAGCTGCTTCTGAGAAATTAATTTATTGAAATCTATAATATAACTAGTTGGGTCCCTGAGATGTTGGAGTGTTCTCAGTTAGCTCCTTCTCTCTTTATTTTGTCATTTTTGCTTCAGTCCTTTCAGCACTAGAAATGGCATCTTGGAGGTGTTTTGAGCTCTTGCTTAGCTCAGTCTTTTCCTCTGGGTTGGGTGGAGCCTCCTCAGCATCTTCTCTTTGGGAAGACATGACCCAGGACACCTCACTTTGCTGCTTGAGACCAGTGACCACATTACTCTCTACAGACTGGGAAACACCTGGCTTTTTTGTTGTTATTGATGATTTCAGTATATTCCTGTTGCCTTGGTGTGTCTGTGAATTCATACTGATTCAATTCTCTTTTCCTTACTCCATGCCCCAGTTTCTCTGGGTTTATGTACGTGTACATTTATATGTATATCTTAAAAAGTGGTAGAGCCATTTTAGAAATAAAAGGCATAAAATTGGGCTCAAACAAGCTAGAGAGAGAATTTAAACAAAAAGCAGTGACCCATTACTGTTAGTTGCTTTAAAGGATATCTTCCCAAAAGCATCTGATGAGCAAGAAGGAAATCTATTTTGTTTAAAAACTGATTTCCTTTAGAGGGGTGATAAAAGTAGCTGTAAAAGTAATTTAGATAGAAATTCATGTTGGGCATTAAAATGATTTTTTTTCTTAAAAAGCTGTAAAGGAAGTGAAAGAATACAGACTCAACTATGCAAAGAAGAATGAATGATAGTTAAGATTTTTTATTTAAATTGCAGAAAAATGGTATTGCTGCAGTAATGAACGGGACTGGTAGTATTTTATTATTGCTACAACAACAGTCTTAACTGTGTTTTTCTTCTGTGTTTGGAGAAAAGCTGAGATGATAGAATTTATTCACTGGATAGAGAAAAGTACATCTCTGCAACAGTGATTAAGGAAAATATTAAATAACAGAGGCACTTGCACAGGTTGCCCAGAGAGGTTGTGGGTGCCCCTTGCTGGCAGCGGTGAAGGCCAGGCTGGGTGGGGCTTTGGGCAGCCTGGTTTGCTGGGAGGTGTCCCTGCCCATGCCAGGGGTGTAGGAGGTGGGTGATCTTTAAGGTTCCTTCCAACCCAAACCATTCTGTGATTCTGAATGCTATGGCTCTATGAGATTCAACTTATTAATACTAAGATGTAGGTTGCACTTGGGTATTTGGAAAAAGTTGTTTATAAGATGTCTTGACCATTGTTTTTGTTTTCTGAAACTGATTTGTATCTCCTGTCATCATATTGACCAGATTCTTGTTTGTTAATTTTTAAGGTCTAATGGGACTAAATCAGCATAATTGTAGGCATGATATCTTAATAGAGATTTCAGTATTCATTTGTATCACTTTTGCTTTAGATCTGTGTAGTTTAAAAAAAAATTCCAGTAATATAGAAAACATTTTACTTTTTCCTTCTTAGGTTGGCTGTGGAGAGGCTGTTATCTCATCCAGCTTTGTAGGATGTGAAAGGCTTCTATATTAATGTAGAAGTGGGTGTTTTAAATTAATCTTGTATTTTATTAATTTTTCTCAAATAGTAATTGCACGTTTTGCAGTTTAAAAATACTGCTAATCAGTGCATATTCTAAATGTCAGATCCTTGGCTGGTATAAATGGCTATGGATTCATTAGTTTCTGCTGTGCTGCACTGATTAATGACAACTGTAGATTTGGTCCAAGGCTGTTAAATGCAGCATCATCATTTATTTTCTCCTTCCTCCAATCCCAAAGCATTTTGAATCAGTAAAAATAATGCAGGAAGAAAAAGAAGAAAATTGATTGCCATATACTTTTGGAGGAAAATATTCTAGAAGAGAATTTTTGTTGTTCTTTACACCTTTCATCAGACCATGTTAATATACAAGATTTTTTGGTTCCCGTGGAGCTTCTAAACTCTCTGGTATTTATAAGTATCAGTTTCTCCTTTTACAGAGAGACACACTGGATGTTCAAAACAATCAAGCAACTTGTTCAAGGTTAGTCAGAAAGTCAGCAGAGTTGAGAATGAAGCAAAGGTATCCTATCCTTGTCCTTAGGCATAGCTAAAGTCATCATTTCTCCCAGAGTGATAAGTAAGGTTATGCTGAATGACAGGAGTTGCTGAGGAGAAGGGATTTCATTTTGGTAGCGACAAAATTAAGGGCAGAGAAGATTGCTGAAACAAAATGAGATAGACAATGATTGTAAAGTAGGGGAGGAGTGTGCTATAGAAGGCAAAAAGGAAGACTCCACAAGTTCTGTGTAATAGTAGATTGCTTCTGTAACGTGCAATGCAGTTTTTGCAATCAGTTCTAATCTTGCACAATGAAAAGCGGCTCCTAGTCCAGGATCTCTGGCTTTGTCCCTACATCATCAAGCAGTTTCCTCTTTTCAAAGTAGTAGAATTTTTCAGAAAAACTTGTTAGTTTGTTTTGGGATTCCTTGAACACAAATTCTGCCCTTTGGGTTGCTCAGTAGCTTTCAGTCATTCTTAAGTGGAAATCAATTCATCTGTGTCAGTAGCCTGACAGCATCTGATTTTCTTCCCCTTTTGTGATTATCTGGATTTTCCTCTGTTGCTGAGATATGCTTTAAAGTGTAGCATGTTACGTGTGAGAATTAAGTTCCTAGTTTGAATGTACACCTTCCTCTATGTTACCTCTAAGGACAAAGCAAGAATGTAGCCCAAAATCACAATTAGCTTTTAAAAATAAAAATAGTCTTTTGAAAGCATTTTGAGATGTAGCTTAAAATGTCCTAAGATAGTTCTGATCTGCTTAACTGAGTTTGTCTAGCAGGTTTTTACAAATACAAGGTGGAAGTTTACAGAGCTCTCATATGCTGATGGAGAATAGTGGTCATTAAACTCAAAAGCCACTGTGTAAACAGGTTTGTATTAGCTGTAAATTCCAAGACAGGCTCTAGCAGGTAGTGATTGAACAGTAAATTAATGTCTTATTAAAATGGTAAATTTTCACTGGCATTTCATGTTTAGAAAAAAAATCTAGTGAAAATCCCAAATGTCATGTTACATACTGTAAATTATCAAGGCTAGCTCAACACAGAGATTCCAAATAGTGTTTGGAGATATTCTGTATTTAGAAAGATGAAGAAGGTCTGTATAAGGAAATTCACCCCTGAAATAAGCAGTAATAATCTCATACCTTCAACAAGTGATGCCTTTGCTGTATGTGAAGATGAAGTTTGATTTCTGTTTCTTCTCTCTAGTTTGTGCAGCCCAAGGGACAAATAAGGCATGGTAAAGTGTTGATTTTGGAACAGTTATGTAATGAAGTTTAGTTCAGTGTATATTTCATTAATTTATTGACTCCCTAGTTAGAAGGCAAGACAATCATCTTCAAGTGTTTATATTCATTTTTGTCCTTCTCATTTGCAGTGAAGATGAACCCAGCCTTAAGAAACCAAAAATTGAAGATGAGGAAGAGGGCTTTAGCCTTATGAAACTTGCTGAAGGCAATATCACCTCTGTAAGCATGTTTTTACGAATCTGATTATCAAAGGAGAAGATTAATTCTCTAAGTCTATTGTAGTGAATATCCAGAATTCCTGATAAAAGGAGAGTTTCTAGCTGAAACGTGACTGAAATACTGTCTACTTGTACATTTGAGACTCTGCTAGAGATAGAAGTGAAGACAACTTTCTCTGCCCTTAGGCATGTGTTAACACAAGTTTCCATCAGTTGTGGATATTTTAGGACAAAATTCTCTCCTGGTGTTTAGAAGTCTAAAAGAAAAGCCTGAGGATCTGAAGAAAACAAAATTGGAGCTCAGTGGTTGAATTTTGTTCTTGCTGTGTTTCATATCTTCTACAACATAGAAGTTGCCTCTGTGTATTTAATCAAAAGTATTGCTGTGATTTTAGACATTGTTCTCTGCATTAATTGGGGGTCTAAATCACAAATTTGGTTTCATCTTGCCTCTAGATCTAACTTATAAATTATGGCTTAGATGAAACCTATATCATAACTGTGCACCTTCCTTTATTTGATGTTTTCCTATTTAAATTTTCCCATTTGATGTTTCCCACATAAAAAAATAGTTAATATTGAGCTAACTTCTCTTGTTTTCAAATGTGCTGTTCTTTAAGGTTAATTTTGAAAAAAAGCATTATTGATACTTATAAAAATATTTGATATCTAAAAAGATTTCAGTGTTCTGCACTTCTAATACAATTTTCTGGTATTTCCTGAAAAGTGCCATTGCTAGATCTTAAAGAAATACAGTGAGGCCAAGCAAACTTATTGCAAAGTCCATGAATTATTCTGGCAGCAAAGCATAAAAAAAAAGTAGGGGAATTATGATTGCTGATAGGAAATTTTAAGCAATGTAGGGTTGTTGGTTTTTTTCCCCTCAAGTTAATGCATCCATTTTTCAGTGTTTATTTATATTTGACCTGGTTTTAGTTCCTTTGAAAGATTTCTGCATTTACATGCCCATTTAGAGCTTTGGCTTTAAGATGTCAGACTCTGCCAGAAAGCCTAGATTATTTAAGTGCAAGCTTTTAATTTTGAGGTCCTATTGGAGTGGCACGCCACTGATTCTGTACCCACGTGCCTGGGAGCTCACACTCCTCACTAAGCACCTGGTGAGATTAGGGAGGTCTAAGAGGGCTGTGCTGCAAAAGATCTCAAAGCTGAACTAACAGATAACCTGAATTGTTGTGCTTCTGTCCTCCCAGCAGCAGAGAAGTGGCCAGCTTGTAACAGTGCAGCAGAGTGAGTTCATCTTGCTCATGTCACAGCCAGCCTTTGCCAGGAGTACTGTGCATTAACACACTTTATAAGACTTGCATTTTTGAGTCTGAATGCAGAGAAGTACACAGTTTCTGTTTTTATATTAAAAAGAAATGTAAAGATTCTTGTTGCCTGACAAGAAGAGAGAGATGGATATTGGAAGACAATTGAATTGGTTTTGTACTTTTTGTAGGTAGGCAGTGTTAACCCAGCAGAAGATTTCCGAATTCTGGTGAGGAAGAAAAATGCTGACTTCAAAGATGGTAAATGACTTTTGTCTATCTTAATTATATTAGTAGCAACTTCAGAATTCAGTAAATGCAATCCATTTGACTAAACATAAGTTTCTAGTACAATGTGAGTTGGTCTGGAATTTAGCTTGTAGTGCCACTCAGCCAAGGAAGGTGTTGTTTGTAATTCCCATGTTAGTACTTGCCTTCCCCAATTAAAAGTCTCAGGTAGCTGTGTTTGGGTAAGAAGGCACTAGACACCTACACTGAGGCACCTGAGCTACCCCTCAGGTGTTTCTAACAGAACACCCCTTGGTATTCCCTGACTGCCTCATTCAGAATGAGCCTCAGCTTCTCATTCCCAGGGTCTTTCTGGCCTGAAGTGGAGAGCTATTGGGTGTGCACAATGTGAGAAACCTGTCTTGTGTTCCATGAAGAAAAAAAGAGACTGTCATGCCTGAGACTTAAATCTTCACATGCAAAGGTCATTTCTTACTGCTTGTGAGTGAAAGAAAGCACAGGTGAATTCAGAGTGGAATAAGCAGGTAGTATTTGTAATCTGAAAGTTTAGAGGAGGCTCTGTGTGCACGGACTCATCTCAGAGAAGAACAACAACACAAGGCACAAGTCAAACATTGTCTTGCATGGCCTAAGTCTGAAAATGCCATGAAATTATCATTGGTCTGTATGATATTTACCTCCTGGAGTAGCTATGCAGAGGTATATGTAATCCAAAGGTGTCTTAAGAAGAATGTACAAGATGGACAGGGCCCTGTATCTCATAAAGGGTGATTTGAAGGTTGTGGCAGGGTAAACTTGATCTGCCAAATAGCCATTAATGTCACATTCCATTTTTCAAAGAAAGATCTGCAGAGGTGGTTGAGTGAGGTACTGGGTATTTCAACAAGACCTTTGGTCCTTTTGGATGTAGTTGCAGGAGTGTGTTTATCAGTATATTGAGTTGTGATACAGCCTGTTAAAGCCTGCATAGCTATTTCTCTCCAGAATTTCCAGACCTGTAAGCCAGCTAGCTAGCTTTTTTGCATGTATTTTTCATTAGACTCAGAAGAAATTATTTATTGAAAAAATATTTGGAGTTTTGTTCTTATATCTCAGCTATATTAATATGCAGTAAAAAAAAAAGCATTGTGCAATACATTAGAATACAGAAACTGTGGAACAGTTGACTACTTTGTTACGGTGATAAATTTCATGTAGGAAAGCTTTAAGGCAGAAATAACTATAGTGATTATCGTTGAAGATGGTTTAACTAGAAAGAATGCTTAAATATGTCCACTTGGTAGCTGTGCTGCAGATAACTGCAGTACATGGTTGGAAGGTTCTGAAATTTTGAGCAATTTGCTTTTATTCTTTGTGATCTGCTCTGTAATGATAAGGTGTAGTTAAACAGAATGTAGTGCAGTCACCCATTTAAAGGAGAGAGAGAAGCCACTATAAATAAAAACATACTTTGCATATTATCTTTTTTCTTTTAGGTAATCCTTTTTGTGCTTCAGAGCCTTTTAGGTGGCTTAACACATTGAACATTGCAGGCATGTTTTTAATGGCTTGCTATATTGCACTTGGTTATGTAAATAGTAAATTCTGCCTTAAAACTATTCAGTGGTTCTAAGGGGTTTTTTGGTATAATTTTGTCATTTAATGATGAAATTTTTTTTCCCTCTGCTAGAACATAAGAAATGTAAAATTTCTTTGCAGAAAAGGATAATCTGTGGGATTCAAACACTTATTTGTAAAAAGGGTAGCATTTTATGTGTCAGGATGCAGACAGAACTGCTAAGTTGCATTCTGTTTTTCTTTCTTGTATTAAAAAAAACATCTGCTACAGTCTTCCTAACTGAATAGAGCTTACATTCACCTTTTAAAATAACAGCAGTCCTTTCATTGGGAGGAGAAAGACCTTTCAACTGTTTGATTGGAGGTGGGTTGTTTTTTAGTAGATAGAGAAGTTGTAGCAGTAGGAAGAGTTGTACTTTAAATAGTGACACTACAGTTGCTTTTTAATTCAGCTGCAGGTTAATGGCACACCCACACCAAAATTATAAAGGTAGCAGTACCAGAGCATGGCAAGGTGATTATTTTTCTTTTTCTTCTGAAACAGCTTGCAGGAAGTCCTGATGGTATATTTATCACTGAAAATAGGTACCAGTATATTTCCTGCAGTGCCCTCACTGGGATGCATTAATCAGGGTTTGTACCTTTCATAGCAGAAGTCTTAAGTGGAAGCTAGTCCGTATCTGATGCTGTGTGACATCTTTGCCACTAATGCCTAAATAATATCTGCAGAAAATCAAAGATTTTCAGATTGATAAGGGTCTTAGAGACAGGTTTTCTGGACTGGCAGCTCAATTCCTGGAACAATAATCAACTTTGGATTTACCTGAAAACTGTGTCCTTTATTAGTAGGGAGCTGCTTAAGGGTTACATGGTGAGATTTGTTTGATGGTTTCAGCTTACTGGTTAATGCTGATGCTCATGTAACTAGAAATGTGTTCCCCTCTAGAAATCCTTTCTTATTTGCATTCATGGCCAGAGAGATGTCATGTTATGCAGGTCTTATTTTGAGCAAGTCACAAGTGTAGAGTCATCACAAAGAGATGTCCCCTGATAACAGCTTCTGACGTTTTTGTCAATGACTGCACATAAAATAGATTAGTTTACCTGAGTAGAATCTAATTGTTGCTCCCAAGTGTGTACAATGAGTTTCTTCACTGCTGTGGCTTCAGAAAATGCAGTCAGTGCTTGCCATCTTTATAATGGCAAAGGAGTAGCCATGTAGTGCCAATTCATCCTCCTATTTGGAGGTGTCCATCCATGTCTGCATCTCAGGAGACAGATCATGTCTGATGTGTTATGTTGTATTTTTGTAGGCTTCTATATAAGATAGAATCAGGGGAGTAGAAAAAGGTATTGACACATGCACAGTATTTTCTTTGATTTGTAAATTTTCTGTGTGAGTCTATAGGCCACATTTCATTGCATCTTACAGTACTCCTGTCTGAGAACGTGATGTCGAAAAAGCTTTTCTTTATTTGCTGAGTTTCAGCTGGGAGAGAAATCTGCATGTCCAGAGACGAATTGCACTAAGCTCTCATTTCTATATTTTAGTAAATTAGTTAATATTTTTTCCTAGGCATTTCTAGAAAAATATAGCTGAAGGAATCAGTAACTGAATGTGAACAAGGATGATATTTTATTGCAAGATTTTCTGTAGAAATAAGTATAGGTAATTACCTTTCTGGAGCTAAGATAGTTTTTTAAAAAGCTAATACTTCATGTAATTCTTTGTTGGCAGGTTTTTGCAGTTTGTTTGCATTTTTATCTTACTGGATGTTTTTGTATATTTCAGAGACTATTCGTGCTCTACTGCTAGGCAGGGCAGATGCAATGAGTGGTTTGATGAAAATGATTCAGTCATTAGAAGGGTTTTTGCAAACCAAATACTTGAGTATATAGAATCACTTTGAAGTTTTCTGTATATCTGCTTCACAGAGAAGATGAAGCCAGGTTTGTCTTTGAAGGGCATAGTGATTGGGCGAGATTCAAAGCTCTGTGTTGCAACAAACAGAATATGAATTAGATATTATGGGGAAAAAGATAATAAAGATCACAATGGTGAGGCTCACATAGAAAAAGGGACCCATGAGAATTGGAGACTCTCCATCTTTGGAGTTACACGGAACTCAAGTCTGTGGAGCACTGAGGCACCTGTTCCACAGTGCACCCTGGTTTTAGCAGGGATTTGGGTCATATGTCCTTCAGATATCCAGCCTCAATCATTCTGACCCATACTCAGAGGACATTTAGAGACACCATTTCAAAACTGAACAGCCCCTCATAGGATACTGGATTAGTTCAACAGCCAGCAGCTCTTGGTCTTAAAATTCTTATTTCTGGGCTTAAAGATGAAGGAGGTCCTTAAAAATCAGTTCAGTTTTCAGTTCAGAATTTCTTTCTTCGTTTCAGTTCTAGAAAGATTTTATAGAGTATTTTTTAAATTAATGATCAGGTGATTTAACTGATTTGTCAGTTTAAGCACTGTCCATGAATACAAATCATTACCACCAGCAGCACATAAATCAGAAGATTAACAACAGGAGTCTTTTTTCTAAAGGAAGAAATTTTTTAACCTGATTTATTTTTTGGGGGGATGGGGGAAGGGGAATCCCCAAGGAATCAAGCTTGGACTGTAATAATGGACAGTTTTGGCTATTATTATTGTGTAATCTGATTGGTATAGTAATCAAGACCAAGAGCTGAACTGAACAAACATGAAAATATAACTGCACTTCTGTAGTGTAGCTGTTCAGAGATAACAAGTGAATATAATTGTTCATGGCATATTTCACAAAAAATGACAGCACTAGTGAATGTATTTTGGAGTAGCAAATGTATCTAAATGCCAGAGGGGAAGGGATTAAATTCTGCTAGAACTAAAAGATCTATTCTGGGATTTTTTTTTCCCCTGCAGTTCTCTAACCCTTAATAACTATATTTGTTATCTAACCAGTCAGGTACAGTAGAAAGAGGGAAGAGGAGATAAAAGTTTCTTGGGATGTTCTGCAGAGTGTGGTGGTTATTAGGAGTGCTGGAAATTCCAGTTAATGCGAAATGTAGAAGTCTGTTGTTTGTTCTCTTCCTTAAATGTGTGTGGAGTGAGGGAAGTTGGGAAAGGAGAAAAAAGTTACAATTACACAGGAGTGGGTGAATGGGCTGTCAGTTTGTAACCCAAGGGCCTACTCCTCAAAACATCAATGCCTCAGATTTGTCTGGGACGCATCAGAGTTAATGCTTATCACAGCTTAGTTAAAAAGACAGCTTTATGCAGAACACGCTTTGCTCCAAAAACAGGGACGTCTATTTTTGCTGCATCCAGACCCAAAGATTCAGACTAATGAAAAGGCAGCAGGAAATCAATGAAGGGCTCAGATTAGAAGTCTAAAGAAACAGCAACCACTTCAAGAATTTCCTGCTATAATCCTTATCTTCTGTCTTTAATATTACTTTTGGTCCCCTGAAATAATTTGGTAATCTAATCAGAACATAAGGATTTTTGTCTATTTTAGATTCACCCATCATTGGCCTATCATTTAAGGGAAACCCAATGGACAAAATCAAGTTTTTAGCCAAGCTACTTCAGGATGTTAGAGAAATGTGACTTTAAATACTCTTGCCATGTAACCTGTTTGCTGCCTATATTATGGACTTGGTTCCTGGTAAAACATTGCAGGTTTCCTTTGGTTCCTTACAACAGATTTCAAAAGGAGGCATCTCGTAGTCAGTAGCAAGAAAGTCTTTTCTTCTGATGGCTGCCAGGGCAATCAAATGGAAAGGGATTTAAAAAAAAATTAAATGCAAAAGAAGTAGTAGAGTGTCTGATAGTTTCAAACAGTATGCTGGAATCTTTCTGACAATGAAGACTTTTATTGCACCCTTATAGTGCCTGGGGTTTTAATTTAACACATCAATGAGAAGACAGTGTTTAAAAAAAACACCACCACCACTGAAAACACCAGCAGGACTTGCTTTTATTAGTGCAATTCATAAGAAATTAGAACATTTAATGAGAAAATCATTAACCATGAAAAAAATGGACTGACTTAACTTGGGAAGCTTAAGTAGTTAGACTTCAATTTAGTTTGTCAGCTACTGGTGAAATAAATAGAGAGTGAGCTGATTACCTCTGGCACAGTAGGCACTTTAGGACACTTTCTTGTGCTGTAACTGCTGTTGGGCACAACCATTATCTGCCTCCTTTTCTAGAAACTGTCAAAACCTAGTGGGAGAATATCAAACATGCCTTGTTTCACACTATGCAGAGATATTGTCCTTCAGATTCAGTTCAATTAGGCATTTTATAGAAAATTATGTAACAGCTGGTGCTGTGCATACTCGCAAAAACAGAGAGGAACACAGTACTTAAACAATGTCTCCTTCTTAGTGTGCTTCTTGTTTCTTCCACCACTCTGGCAGGTGATTTTCTTTGTTGATGCTTCCATAGCTGAGATTCTTGAAGTCATGTCTATGCCCATAACATCTGGAGCTGGGAAGGGCTATAAATCAGGGGAAAGGCTCTGCTAATCCACTGACTGGTCTTTAACAGTACAAGAACAGGGCAGGCAGATGCTGGAAAGCTTTCCGCTTTGCTCAGAAAGCTTTCCTGAATCTTCTTCCTCAATGGCAGCAACACTGGTAATCTCCCTTGATAGACATCCTCTTTTAAGAATTCTGAGAATTTGTTCATTTTTTCAGTTGTTAAAACTTAACCCCTTTACCAAAGGCTGATTTAACTGCTGGTGTGTGTTTCAAAAGATCCTGTTTTATTGTTTGTTCTTAACCCAAGCCTTGGCTCTTGTTTTGAGAGGCAGGATGCTATCAACTCCCTATTCATTCTTTTCACAATGCTTCTGAGTTTATAGATCACTATTGTATTCTCCTCATGCTTGTTTTTTTCCTGGCTGAGGTGTTTTGTCAGAGGGTAAAACTGGACAGTTCCTTAACTGTAAGTAAACATGAAGAGAAAGTAAATTACTAAAAACTAGCAGAAATTAATTGGGATTTGCAGAGCTCTTGGGTGGCATTTTCTCTTGTCTGTTTGCTGTGGTTTACATCTACCTACATTTAGGAGCTCAACAGTAAGGGTAAAACTGGTGTTCCCCTTCTTGTTGGTACAGGTCTCACTATTTAACTCTGCTTCTTTCTGTCAGGCATGCACAGTTTATAATCTCTATAATCATAAACCTCTTTGCTCTGATGAAAAATTATTAAACTACCTGTACAAGAGACAAGACATACCCTGATGTCAATAACAGCAAGGTCTTTTAACTGCAGTCACCCTACACCTGTTGGTTTGACATTATTACACCTTTCTCATAAATTTAATGCTTTCATTGAAATATGCATTGATTGCAAAGGATGCTTAGGGGATACGCTTGTGTTGTAGAACATTAACCTCCCTAAGCTTTAGGATTCCAAATTTTTATCAAACAAGTTAGGCCTCTGCTTTTTTTCATGGCCTTCAGGGAGAAGTATGCCTTGGACATGCTTGAGGTTCTTCCTAATATATCTGGCTTTTCCAGAGAGGCTGAAATTATTGTCACTAGCTTATATAACAATTATCAACTTGCATGGCTTGAGGCAGTGTGGGTATGATTAACTATTTAGGTGCCTGTGGAGTAGAAAAAGAGAGATGTAAAAGAAAAGTTGGGGTTTTTTCCTTGAAAGTGTGCATTCTTTTGTTTATTTATCACTTTATTTCTCCTTGTCTTCCAGTGAGTCAGCAGTTGAAAAACCGCATTGATCAGTTCTTGGAAAACAAAGGTTCCCAGTACTACATGAAAGGGATCGACTGTATCAGAGCTTTTAGAGAGGAGGCCATGAAGGTAATGTCAATGTATGAATACACAAATACCTCTTTCAAATTAGAGGCATGATGGGCCTGTTTGCTTGATAATTTATTGCTGCAGCAAAAACAATTTAAATATGTTTCAAATTTTAGAAATAGAGTTGCATTTTTTGGGGTTTTTATTGTTTTTATACTGGAATGGGGACTAGCCTCTCTGGTATTACTTGCTGTTGTTTGTTTTTATTTAAACATAGAACTGAAGGCCTATGACCTGATGCTTGTGCTAGTTAAAAGTACAGTCCTACAATTTTCTTCTTCCATAAAGCTAGTTACAAGCAAGTCTTTCTAGTTTTCTGAGAGGTGCTTTTTGTGGCTCACCATTCCTTAGAACTCACTTATTCAGTTTTAATAGAAATAAAACCCACATTCTATAGAGACTTTTGTGTTCACCATGTTAAATGACTTCAACAAGAATTAAGCTTGCTTTAATAGTTTTTGCTTACAGTTACTGTTACATTTTTTTCAGCTGTCCAAGGTGCAGTGCTTTAATGACTTTCTGCAGGCACTGAAATCAAAGTTGGAAGATAAAGCCTTATCTGATTTCTGGGAGATCATGGTACAAGGTAAGATGGCATTAAAAAAAACCTAGGCAAAGCTGTATTGCATTTACCCATTAAGTAAGAAAAGTTCATTAGCAGTGGGGCACTTAACCCCACTGCAGCATTTTGATATGCTTCATTCCTGCAGCTAGTTAAAAAAAAAAAAACTTTCATGTTGCAGCTTCCTTTCCTTTTCTGCACTAATAGTTTTATATCAGCATTATTCATAATGCATTGCCAAGTCTTGTTGAAATGGTAAATTAATTGTAGAAGAAGAGACAAATTAAATGTTATGGGGTAAGGAGAAGAAGACACAATTTCAGCTGAATCTCAGAATAAATGGAAAAAACTCATGCAGTAGAGCTATAAAAAGATTCTTGCAGTTTAAGCTTCCAAAAAGTCACAGATAGCGTTGAAATGTGTCACTGATCATTTTGTATTTAAGTAACCTGAAGGACAGAATATGTGGTAGTATGACATCTACCTATGATTAAACTGGGAGATACAAGGCAGTGCCATTCTAAAAGACATTCAAAGATTACACAAGTGATAAATAAAGGAACATTTTCACAAATAGAAAATGTAGCGGACTAAAAAAAAATCTTTTACATCATAGTCTTGTTTTTAATTGGAACCAATGCTAAGGAAATCTGTTAAATGCCCAGCTGTATCTCTTAAGGATGCATGCTATAAAATGCAGCGATGTGATTTTGTGTAATACCATTCAAAGTGATGAACTCCAGACATGCTGTAATGTCTGCTTTGTCCAGCTTTGAATTACAGGATGGGAATTTGCTTAGCAATGTGAAAAAAACAGCACAGGACAACACTGACAAGAACATTATATTCAGTAGTGCTATAGGGGACCTTCTCTGTATAAATTTGAAAAAAGAAACCAATAAACTTTGAAAGTAGCAAACTTGGATCTTTCAAAGCCATGAATAATTTTTAGTTAGTATAAATCAGAGTTTTTGAGAAACTGGAGTATGTTTTCGAGGAAAAAATCAACCAAACAAACAAATACAAAGAGAGATGATATTTTCATACAGCATAGATTATCTTCCTTTGAGAACATGGTGAAATGAAATCTTGATACTTAATGCATAATCTGGATGCTCTTAATAGGCAGCTGAAATTGCTTTTTACTTGCTGCTAACAAGAGCAGGAGTTCTGTTTTCTCTCGTTCTTGCCACATGACCCATCCCCTCTTTTCTACCAAGTGTGGTGTGCATTGGGTCTTGTCATGAGTGACTGCCATCACCAAAAGGAGATGAATGTGAGTTAGTGAGTTAGTGGCTCAGGAGAAAGGCAGAGCTATTTGACAAATTCCTTTGTTCATGAAACCCTGCCATGTGGTTCTGTGGGCACATGAAGGTGATTCTACACTTACACTGCTGCTGAAATTCTTATGAATCTCCTATTCTTTGCTCTCACACCCACAGCTGCTTATTCAGGCACAAGCATTTGTATGGTCAAGTGATGAACTAGACTGGAAAAACTATTGGCGTCAAAATAAATGGAGGTTTTTTGGAAGGTTTTTGTTTGGAGAGGTGGGACATCACTGCACAGGGTGGTGCTGCTGGCACAACCAAGGAGCAAAGTGGAGCAGGACCAGCACTTTGGTAGTAGACTAAGTAATCACAGCACAAGTGTCTGAATCCTAAGAGTTAATTTTTTCTGAGGACCTCAGAGCATGCTGTGAATGACTAAAAGTGCAATTTCTAATAGATTTTCAGCATTTCATCTGTGATCTATGATTTCAGTGTCTCATTAGTTTGATTGTCACAATATTAGCAGTTTCCTAAATGGATACTTCCACAAGCTTATGAATATGCTCATTAATTTATTTTTATATCATATTTTATATCATAGTTGACTCATTTATGCAAGTCACATTTTCCTTTGAGTGATACTCTTTTTTTTGCTGGTGATGATGACACATCCAGAAGTTGAAATGTGGAACATTTTTTTCACTTCTAACATTAGGTGAATTTTTGGGAAGCCTTCTAATGATATTTTTATGTTTTGTCTTTTTTTTTTTCAGAAAGGATTTCTTTGATCACTAAAGATGAAGCAGAAGGAAGTTTGGTGACAGGTGAAGAGGCTGAGAAGGTATCATTTTTTTAATAAGCTTCTGTTTGTATAGAGCTCTTGCTGTGGAACTGAAGAGTTTTTCACATGGATAAATCTTCAGCTGAATGAAATAAGATCCGTATGAAGAAATAAGAATGTTCATTTGCCACACAATTGGAACTTCTTCATTTCAGAGCAAAATTACTTTAGCATGTACAAGTTTTACTTAATTGGTCTTTAAAAAGTAGCATGTATTGAAATGATGTGAAGATATCCTCTACAAAGAACAGGAACTTCAGCAACTCAGTGTAGTGCAACAGCAGAGTGCTATTTGCATATGTAAGATCACTATTTGAACTTCACAGAAAGAAATATGTTCTCACTGGTAGCACGAGTTCAAAAATCTGATACTTTTTAAAAAAGGTTTTGTGAACTCCAGCAATTCAAGTTGTTGTGGCTAATTTTCACCATACATGCAGTGATACCAATATTTTCCCTTTGTGTAGCTTTTGTGGATGGGTGGGCATTATACATAATGCTGGGGGTATTATTGGTGACCATATTAGATCCTTTGGAAATGGGAGTTTTGGACTATTTGCAGGTATAATTTCTACAGATATGTAGCATTTTAGTAACTACAGTGATGAAAGAAGGATGTCCCAGTTACAAAGGACTGAATTGTAACAGGGAGAATGGTGCCTCCTCTTTGGAAGGAAGCAGAATTCAGAGCTGCTGTCAAAAATGATATTTGTGTGGAGAGGATAAGATGGGTGTTTTTGTATCAGGCTGCTAGTTTAGGAGAAAGGTCCTTGTATCGCAGACCCCCCTGAAGGTGAAACTGTGTCCGAAATCACCGTTTTGCAGAGAAGTAGCTTTTATAGAAGATGCCACATTGATTTTTGCAGCTTCCAGGCCTTCCATAAGCAATAGGCAGAAGTGGGTAGAAGTAGATTCTCTATGATTTAGTTAGTGAGTAGAAAAAGGTTGTATCTTAGAAACTGCTTTTTTCATCTGTAACAATTTATCTCAAGGTGAAGAAGGCACAGAAATGTCATGAAAATGAAAAGCTAACAAACTAGGAGTCCAGAAAGCTGAGCACATGTGCAGGATACAAAAGACAGAATATGATGATTTTTCTAGACATGAAGGACCCACTGGCTATTTATCATTACACATAAAGGTATAGAGCAACTTTTCCCCCAGTGGTGGTTTTAAAGAGTATCAGCCTTTTTTATCTACTTCAAGTGCTATGAAATTACTTGGAAACTTCCTAAGACAATATTGTTCTTGAGAACTGTACTTTCTAGTCTGAAACTACCACTGATGCTCAAAAAATGTGCTAATGCTGTGTGAAATAGCCACTGTTCCTTAAGGAAATCTCTACTAACCACAAAGACCTTGCAGCATACCATTGTCTTCCCTGTGAGCTTGTGGTGGCTGAAAAATACTGTGCCTGCATGGGAATGCAGCACAAATGAGAGAGTATCAAGGACTGGATTCACAGCTGCCAGGCTAAGCTGAAGAAGGCATTTACAGGCTGACTGCAAGTTTACATTTCTGTTTACCATCATCCTGCAATCACCATATATTGCAATACAGAAACTATTTTGTGATTGAAGGTCATTTTGTGATTGATTGGAGGTCATACAATAGCCATATCTTCCAATTAAATTGGAGGAATACAAGATATTGCATGAAATCAGTTTTGCAGCAGAGTTCTCTAAGATGGCAGTTACCTTAACTACCAGAGTGATTGGATTGCATCTCTTTGCTAGCTAAGCAGTTGGCAATTCAGATATTCACTAGATAACCATCTCCCCACACACTGTCCAAATCCAAACCCAGAACTCTAATTCCCATTGGCTGTTAAGGACTCATATGACTTTTTCATTAAGGAACTGCAAGACTGTGTATTCTTGGAGTAAGATCTGCAGGGATAGAATATTTTATCTTGGTATTGTGGAGATGGTATAATATCTAGTCCTCTTTGGTCCAATTAAACCCTGCCACAATTTTCCTGTGTGATACAAAGCCAGCATTTTCCTAGGTCTACAGCAGATTGCAAAAATGGTTCATTTATTTTTTGTACTGAAGGCGATACCCTTTATTTAGGGGTTATATTGGATTTTTTCAAATATCTCCCAGCAGAGTAAGATGCAAGTTTTCTTCACCTCTGTAGAGGTTATGTGCAAGCCTGTAGGTCGTGGGGTTGTCTGTCAGTGTTGTCCTTTGTGACACAAAAACCCTTTCTCTTATGTGCTGTTTACTAGCTGCTAGTAGTTTCAAGACTGTTTTGTCTGTAAGATTACAGGTTTTATAGGGTTGTTGTCTGCAGGAAAAAAGAAGACTTACCAGGCTGCTTATTAGACAGGTCAAACTTTCCTTTTTCCTTTTGCTTGAGGTAGGTTATGCATGCATATTTTCCTATCACTGAGATTTTTTTTTTCCCCTGTAATAGTGGATATACTCTTTTTAGAGCATGAGGATGGTAGGTTAAAAGAGCAGAAATGTCAAGTGCTTTTTCTGGTTGCTTTGGGGAAGATAATGGATTTCAGCACAGCTATTATATGTAATTTGATTTTGCATAAATGTAAAACAGGTTTTCAGAAAAAAACCCCAGCTTTGGATGTTCAGCATTTGATGGAAACTTCAGGTTTCAATTTACTGCAAATCTTCATTGTACATTTCTCTGGCTTTTAGCTTCCTTTGCATAATTTAGCACGAGAAAGCTGATTGTAAAATTTTTGAAAAATGTGCTACTTCCAGAAATACCAATTGACTCTTAATTAAATGTGAAAAAAGGAAATTTGATCTGGCACAAAAAGCCTTTCAGAGCTGACAAATGTCATTAGCTTTTAGTTTCATAGTATGTGCTTTATATTACTACTAGATTAAGAACTCTTCCAACAAAAAAGATAAACAGACGTACAGCATCCTGAAATTCTAATTCCTTCTGTCACATTCCCTGCCTTTCTTTTTTTTTCAGCTACAGAATCACTGATAAGTTAAACTCAGCAGGTTAGAACATGAATGTTGTCTGTGGAGTGAGATTTCTATGTTTCTCTTGGATGTTGCTGCTTAGGATGTAGGAAAGTTCTGACCTTTGGTCACTGGGGTTCTAGAGAAGGATCAGAATATTTTATTTATTAAAATAATGTTTAAGCTTTTACTAGAAATGTATGGTCTCAGAGATTGGTGATGTTGATAGGGATCCCATGGCCTCTTACACAACCTCTCTGGCTGACACAGTTGAAGTCCTCAGCTGAACAGCAGCTCCCTTTTAGGAGCACAAAAGAGTTATCTAAGCAGGTATTTATAGCCTGTTTAATGTGGCTATTTTCTACTTAGCTGTTCTCTTTCATCACCTGGAGTTATAGTGAAGTTGTTTCTGACTTAAAGATGACAGGACTCCAAGTCTGGGATTGTGGCTTTTCCTCAATAGCTTCATGCCTGTTTTTTGGGGGTCAGGGCTGTTTCTAGCTCTGTATACTTGTTCCGGTGCATTTTAATAAGAAGAAAAAAAAGATTTTATGTTAAGGGTATTGGTAAAAAGATAGTAACTAGGATTTGTAGACAACTGGATGCTTTTTTTAAGTAAGAGTTAAGTATTGCCATTTTTCCCTACCATTTTAATGTTTTGGGTTTTTTTAGGCTAAGAGAAAAATCTGTGAAATAATTTTGGAGGTGGTTGTACTCCAGATATTGTCTGTATGTTTGATTTCAGTTTTTCTAGTATCTGAGCAACTTACCTTTCTCTTCTGTTTATGAATGTCATGCTTTAAGTGAAGGGCATATGGTGAGTTGTATCAGCAGCTACAGCAATGTAATTTTACATAATGATTTTCCATTTTTAAGACTGGCATTCTAACCATCTTGCATGTTAGAGGGTTTTTTATTTTATTCATATCTTTGTTCATTTGGTAAATGTTAATTGAATTAAATGGGGACACTTAAAAATTCAACACAAAACTAGAATGCTATGTGTAGGAAATGTCTCAAAGAAGCCATTGGTCACCCTCATGTATGTACTCATATCACTGGGGGTCAGGGATTTTGTTATCCCTAAGCATTTTGTACCTACACACAATATTTTTGAAGAACATAAACCTGGTGAAACTGAAATGGATAAAATTTCCATCTAATCCAGAATCCCATCTGACAGTGGACAAAAAAGGATGGGTAGAGAAAAAATGCATAGTCCCAGGCTGCAGCCACTGATGTCTCAAAAACTTCTTGTGCCTGAAGTTGTTTCTGTGGACTTAGTAGACTTCAAATGATTTCTCTTCTATGCATCTTTCTTATCTCCCCCTGAGCCTAGGGAACCATGTTTGCAGCATCATTTTCATAGGGTTCTCTACAGCCCTCTACATGTGTTGTCTCAAGAACCATATCCTTATGTCTGGTTTTTGACATACTTCACCATAAAATCCTTTAAAAGCAAGTCTTATGAAGTTTTTTGTAGTTTAATATGGTTTTGGAGGGTAGAAACCAGAAAACACATCCTTCCTGATTTTTAATTTTAGTTGGCTTTGTTTTGATATACAGAGGAGACATTCTGTTAATTTAACATTAAAGGCTCTCAATTTTGTCAGTACTGCATAAATACTTCTTTTTTTTCTTTTTTTTTTTTTTCTTTTTTTAGTTCTTGGCTCCAAAGGAAGAGAAAAATGAAACTCTGCCTCCTACAGATGAAGGTGGTGATGTTGATGATCTGGTGAGTGCCATAAAGATGTGGTGGGGCTTCAGAATTAAGCTGTAAGTGAAAGGTGCAATGAGAGAGCCAAATGGTTCTTAAAGCAGTAGATATCAGAGTGCATGGCTTAGAAAACACCTAAGGAATTGAATCAGAAGAGCCACATGAAATTACTTACTTGCTATTGTAAGGCTTAGGCAGGTGTGTAATTTCATGATGGCAAATACTGTGTCATGTAGTAACATAGGTGTTTACAGGGGTGAAATGTGTCCTCTAATATGCTTCAAAAGAGCCAGTGAGGCACTCATTTAAAAGTGGATTGGTATAATTTACTATAATAGCTTTTTAAAAGGTTTGTAGATCTTGAACTGCTATTTATGTGGGTTGAAAACTCAAACATTTTAAAAAAGATGTTTTGATCTTTTGAATTAAATTTCTCTATATAGGCTTGCTGAAATTCAAGGATATCAGTTTTTTTAATAAATATTTTAGCCATCTTTTACAGGCTGTCTCATTACAAATCTGTCTCCAAGGCTTCAGCTGATGGTGTAGATGGTTTTAAAGAAGCTTAGATAACAGATCTCTACATTTGGACTGTACTTTTAAAAATCTATAAATTGCACAGATGATTATGTGAAGATGAGATTTTTCAGTTTGTTTTTGGACTTTATAGAAGATTAGTACTGAATTCTGTGCAATCTATTTATGTTACATGATAAGGATTTCCAAATTTGCCTGGTTTTTTCAGCACTAAACACATATAAGAAATTACTTCAGTGCTGCTTCTTTCAAATCTGTTTCTTCTGTTTGCAGCTGGACATGATGTGACCAGTGATATATGGTGACTGTGGAAGCAAAGTTTTGGAAGAGATGGCTCTGTGAGATGGGGCCCAAAAAAAGATGCTAATGAGAAGAAAGTACATCCATCTTTATTTTCTCAAATGAGAACAGAAATCCCAGAAACGTTTCCAGCTGGTATAAATGGCATCTGACTTTCAAAACTAGAACAGAAGATTGAAATTGTCTGAAGTATTTGGGCAGTAATGGTACCTTTAAGGGATCTTTTTTTTTTTTCTTTAAGACTGAATTTAGCTTGTCCTTTGTATTGCTTTTAGCTGAACACTACTAAATTTAATGAGAATCTGCTCTGGTGCCTGAAATTCCTGTTGCATTGCCTGGGAAGAAAGACAGAAATGTCACAGCAAGGTTACCAGGTAATACTGAATATTTAGTGGAGGTAACCCTATAGGTTTATTGTTACAGAAGTGAAAAAGTATCTTATTTTCATGCTTTAAAAAAACCAACCAACCAACTCAAATAAACACAAAACAAGATAGAGCAAAAAACCAACAAAGCACCATGAAAAACAGCACAGAGGCTTGTGGGAAAAAATTCTGGGTCAGGGACTCACAAGTTAATAGTTTGAAATACACACAGAATCTGAAGCACACAGCAGAGCCAGGTGTGCTGATTTTGCCACACTGACCCCAGATCAGTAATTATGGTCTTCTCTGCACTACAGGTTCACTTTCCTGTCAGCTCAGCAGCAGCCCAAGGTCTCTGTCCCTTTCTGTGACACATTTTCCTGTTTCAGGGGCTGGGATTTTTGATTTTTTTAGACTTGTAACTAGTACAGTTACTGTAGATGCTCCTGGTGCTGAAAGGAGAATGAATCAGTTCTGTGTCCGTTCCATACACTGCTGAGAACTGCTCACCCAGAGCAGAAGGGTCCCTCAAAGCTGTACACTGACAGCTGGGATGGATAAGTGATAATAGTTAACACTGCTAACCAGGATGGAGTAATGTCTGCACAGAGCAATCCAAACTAGTCAAATACTGCTTAGAAAGAAACATTCAAGTCTGATTGCAGAGCTGAAGAGACAGTAATGACACCTTCACACATGCTTGTCTCTTAGAACCAGATTCATTCCTTTAAAAGCTGGTGCTTCATTATTATAAATGTATAAATGTACTGTGCAAAATGGTATTAAGATCACAAAAAAAGGAAAAATCATCTGTAGTTGCAAAGTGTTGTGGAATATTTACACTTTATATTGGCCAACAGCTCCTGTGTGGGAAATAGCAATTGTTTTTTGCTTCTACTTCCTTACATAGCAACCTACTCTCTCCTGTCTTAGATCCTATCCTGACTGAGTTGAAAGCATTTCTCAAATACAGATGGCAGGGAGCAAGTGATTTTTGCAGACCTTTATAGCTTTTGTATCACCAGAAGATATTTTTCTCAACTGTAAATAAGGATTATTTGATCAGTGTTTTAAAGGCCAATATATGGGGTATGCTGGCTGGGGGTTTCTTATACACTTTTTTTTTTTTTTTTTTTTTTAATAAAAGTATTTTAAAGGTCAGGTTTTGTCTTCAGAGCCATGTTTGCTATAATCAGGTGACTACTTATGCAGTGCCTAAAGGAAACTATCAAAAGCCCCTTTTCTGGGCCTACAATGCAAACATTGAATATCAAAATCCCTCCACAGAAGCAGAGTATACTTATCCTATTCTTTATGAACCCTAAACTTTGCAACACCCCAGTAAATAGTTTTTACTGTGTTGCAGAGATGATGAGAAAATCTTGGGTCAGGACCACCCAGAATATAGAACCTGGTGACCAGAATATGGAGTTACTTTGTTTATTTTGATTTAGTTGACCACATTTCTAGTGGATTGCTTCTGTCAAGGAATATACATTTAGTTCATGGAGAATTGCTGCATAGATCTTGCTGCTTGTACAGGACAATATGTCCAGGTAGGCTCAGTGTGGTGATTGAGTTGCTAGTACTGAGAAGAGGAATGAGAATTTATGACTCAAAATAAATAAAAGTGAATTCTTGGAAGGCAAGAAAAGCATCTTTCATTCTGCCCAGGCTTCCGAGTTCAGTCTTCAGAAGCTTCTGATCTTGGTGAGGGTCTATCACATCAGCAGCCTGATTTTATATTTGTTCTTTGGCGAAGGGACAGCTTTCAGGTTCTCATTCAATGACTGAAAGAGATCTTGCATTTAGATTGAGTTCACATTTTCAGTTACAAAGTCTGACCTACTGTTTGGTGGGCTGACTCACTGTTTACACTGAGAATTCTCATTTTCAATTGCCACACTGACCAGTCCTCAGAAGCACTAGAGCAGTTAGTTGTTCACTTCAAAAGCAGCTTTAAAGGAAACATAAAGTGCATTTGTTTTCCTGCCAGCAGCAGCACATCCCTTGTAATGTACTTTATAGGCAGAGAAATTATCAGAGTGTCTACAGAAAAGAAGACTGTGAAGACTTCTCTTCCTTATTTAGAAGAGGGGTGTGGACAAAAAAAGAAATATTTTGCAGTGTGGACCTTGGGAGGTGGAGAATATCCAAAAATATTATACCAGAAAGGGTAAGTAGTATGTGAGGGAGCTGGGACCATAGCATGGAACTGAGAGTGCTCCACAGAAAAGGACAAAAGGCTGGGTTTGGGAGTCATAGAGGAAGAGTAAGACTGTTCTGGTTACAATATACTGTTAATCTGTAAGTGTCTAGGCTGTATCAATTCTGCACAAAGCATTTTGCTCTGTCACTGGGTAGGGGGATCTGCTACCTGTTATGTAGTTCTCAAGTTTGGTCTCACTCCTTTTATACTCAGAAACCAAATTTGTCCTCTTGGACAGTTGTCAATATGCCACAGTAATAAAAAATAACTTCCAGAATGTTACATAGTTGAAGACTTGTGATTTGTGTGATATTAATCAGGTTGAAATGAATGTCAGGTCAACAGTGTGATGTCAACATGTTTGGAGAATTCTGAAAGCAAGGCTTCATCTCTGTCCTTGGATTGTGGCACAGAAGTATTACACATGCCATCAAAACACTTCTAATGTGAAGAGACTTGTTCTGCTGCACTGTGGTCTCTTAGTTGCCAGGGTGAATTTACTTCTTGCTAACTTTCCTGGTATTTGGGTTTTGACAGAATTGTCTGTTTGATGTTCCAGCAGGATCTTTGGAATTAGAAAATGAGGAAGGAAAATCAGTTATCTCAGTTGTGAATTCTAAAGACACAGGCCGTTTTTATATTCTGCATTTGCACATGATAAAAGGCAAGGGAGGAATTCCCTTGTGATCTCAGTAGGGTCAGGGATAATCTGGAAAGAGAGTTCTGACTTGCATGTTGCTAAGCTGGCAAATACACTGGTGGATGTTGCTGCTGTGCTTGTCAGGGTGGGTTTGGATTTTTTCAGCCTCACCACTGTCAGTGTGAAATAACCACTTAAATTTAGCTGTTGGTTTGTGACAGTGGAAAACTCATCTCCACTAAATTTTCTGCTTTGCTTCCTTTCCCCTTCCATGTTCATCCTTCCCTTGGTACCATTACAGTAGTGGAGCTCAGTGCTGGGAGCACTTGTGAATGTCAGATGTAGGAAACCTCCAAATTTTCTTGTGTCTCTTTTGAGATGTGAGTTACAAAGATTTTTTTAAAAACTCAAAATATTCCCAGTGCTAGCGGGGGACTGGAGGCCCACCCAGGCTTTTGTTTCTAAATTCTTTGAAGAACTAACACATAGAAAAAACAGTTCTTTCAGGAAACCCTCACCACTTAAAGGTGCTGGTAAAGAAAGGCAGCACTGACTTGCCTTTCTGGGGATGGAGTTTGTCTATAGCGTTTCTCTGCAGTGTTTTGAGGGCAGCTCTAGAAGAAGTTCTGTACCAGTTTGGACTCTTTTCTTGTGATTACTGAACCTGAAAATTTTAGAGGAATAGACTACCACATATTAAAGAAAATAAAGGAAACCAGAATAGGGGAAGTTTTCTTTTGTAATACTATCATATTCTGATATGAAGGTCTGAAATAGATATATTAAAAAAGGCAAGGCTGTAATTTTTAGCCTCTCTTACTTTTCCCAAAGGATCAAAACCCACCTTGAACTCTGCATAAAAAATTGGCATAGAGATACTCTTTACAAGAAAATTACTTGAAAAACATTTGAACAAAGCTTAGCTTAAAGTTTGATCATATTTTTCCATGCAGCAAGTTTTGGTGAGTGGAAAGATTATGTCTCACTCTACCTTCCCTCTTTTACTGTTCTGGAATAGTGCTTCCTTTTATGAAAATAAAAGACCTCAAAAGGAACATAAAAGCTCTCAGTTTTGTTTTTACAAACCAGGCATAGCTTTAGTGCATCTGTGAGATGAATGCCTTAAAATAGACTCTTTGCTCATCTGACTCTGCACATACTGTACTGTAGTGACTTAAGCTGGATAGAAATTAATCTGCTTCTTCCCAATAAACTTTGTGAAGACAGCATGACTGAGAGACATAGTAAAATTAATTCTGTTCCTTCTGACGCTTCCCCAGTACCAGTCTCAACAGTTGACCATCAAAAGCACCTCTTTTGGCAGGAACCTGAAATACTTACAGTACTTTTTGCTGTTACCAAATAATGAATTATTCTGCAGCACTATAAACTACTCAGATTTGGTCACATATATATTTACTGGTGTATTAATTCTTAGGGTCCCCTCCTATGCACCAAGTCAGCTGTATGGACTGCTGTGAAAGTCTGGAGACTCTGTAATGAAATTAGTAGGTTGGCCATGGAAATATATTCACTGTTGCTTTAAATATATCAAACCAAAGGATTGTTTTTCTTCATGGTCTCACTGAGTTCCAACTCTGTCTCATCCTTTCTTCCTATTTTAACGCACAATAATAGGCAGTAATAACTGTCATTTTCTTCTCCTCCAGAAGGGAGTGAATCTTACAGCTTTCAAGATATTATCAGAAAACAGAAATATCTCCAATGTAGGGTATAACTAGAAACGTTTTCTGTCTGCTGTCTGAGACAATGCATAAGGGGAGCACAAGCCCCTGAGGAGACCAACTGTGGTGCAGATATTTTTGCCTGAAGCATGTGGATCAGATATAATGCTAGGAAAAGAAAGGTAGAATAGCTGTTAGTACCTGATTGCTGGAGTTATGTATGAGAATGCCTTCTCCAGCCTGCTAATGCAAGTAGTCAATTGACAAATGTTCTCTCCCCATGGAGTGAGTACATCAAATGGCCCCTATGCTGACTTTTCACAGGAGTTACAGGAGCTGTATCAGAATGCTTAGGGACCCTTTACTTACTGAAAAAGGAGGGAGGGGGGGTGGAGAGAATTTTTTTTCTTTGGTCCCAAGCAGGCCAGCATTGAAGGCTCCGATCTGAATGGGTGAGAGCCTGCCAAGAGCATTTTCCTGTTGAGTTCTGTGTGAGTTTGGTGTCCTAGCCCACAGTTGTCCTGATTGTTGAGAAGGTAGCATTTCTCTGCCTGCAAAGCATGAAAAATGGCTCAGCAAAGGTGAATTGAGAAATCATATGATCTTTGTCTAGTGATTGTGATGTAAATTCCTCCCTGTTACTCCTTGGGAACTTTCAGTAGTTGCCACCTGTGGGATCTCTACATTTCAGTTTAACACCAAGGTTTAGAAGGCTAAATGCTCTCCAAGAAGAGCATAGCACAAGTGATAGTAATCCACCTTTCACAGAACTGTTCTGGGTGCTGTACAAATTTGTATATCATCTGAATCCCACCTTTAACTAGCATCTGATCTTCTAGCAGCTCAACTTGCTGATTCACTTCATTTTCTTGGCTGGGGGGAATTCATCAAAGATAACATCAGCCAGCAAGTATATCCTTTTTCTCCTTGAGTAAGAGGAATAAAGATTTTGGGAAGGAAAGTTGGTTTGGTGATGGGAAAATTGCATATGTTTAATGAACTTGCTTTTGTTTTATATGCTATCCCTTAAAGTACCATGATTATCAGTGTGTTTTGTAGCTATTAAGGCACTGATTAGCAACAGTAACATTATCTTTGGATAATGCACTTGATGCAGAAATGCCTTGAAGAGGCAGAGATAGGGCAGGTTTCTGTCTTTAGTACTTTTGCTGGCTAACCAACAAGGAAAGCTTGGGAGCACCTGCACTTACGGGGACCATATGCATAGCTAAGCTGGGTGGGCTTGCTTCATGTTGTTTGTAAGGG